CCTAATATGTTTTCAGAACAGGAAATAAAACACCTTTCACTATTTCTAATGTTGTATCCAATGATACGATATTTCAGAGTTCTGTCAATGGTATCAGGCAAATGTACTAAGCTAACAAATATAGTGTTTGTCAAAATAGAATCAAAACCAAATTGAGGCACTTTGCTTGCACAACTGACATAGAAAGGTTCGTCATGGATGAACATCCCCTAAACAACTACATAAAATATGTGAATATAAAACAAAAGCATAACTAACCTGACCCTCATTTTGCCAGATGCTGTACTGGAGACTGTACATTTATTCCTTTGTGTACAATAGTGTGAGATCCCCTCACCTTTTAATCATATGTGTGCTAGTTACCAATAACTTGTTTTATGCTGTATAAGAGCCTTTGTTTTATTTACCAAATAAACAAAGACAATCATGCTATTCATTGATGAATTGCCATTCATCATACAATTTCCCCACGGGGATTAATAAAAGTCCATCTTATTGTTATATTTGTGTCCCAGAAGATGAATGTGAATAAGATAATTATGAGCTTCTAATTTTCTAATATCAAACAACCCTCTCGGGACACGTTAATGCAGTGGTTCTCAAACTTTTTCTGTCAGGCCCCCCCTTTGGAGAAAAAAAAAAGTCAGGCCCCCCCCCAACACAAATAGTCAGGCTCAGTGGCGGCGCCAAAGATTTATTTTGGGGGTACTGTGGGGTAGCTTGACGTTTCATAGAGGGTGCTCAAACATTTAGGGTTTCCCATTAATGTACCGGGCGCTACAGAGGAATGTTCTACTGCAACAATCCCCACGCATACACACAGTGCACCCGCAACTGTTACAATGAAGGCTCAATAATCAGCTCACGGCATATAGGTGTAAGCAGGGGTAAAGTGCTATTTTTATAGGTGGTGTGTGGACCTCACATAGGGGGGTCCGGGGGCATGCTCCCCCGGGAAGATTTATTTTTAAATATTGAAGTTAAAAGCATCAATCTGGTGCACTTTGAGAGCAAAATGAAGAGATCTACAGTATGGATACATCTCTCAACACAGAACTGTAAACAGATTTACTATTTCTTTATGGATATTTTACAAATCACTCCCCTTTTAAACATTATACATTTTTTTATGTCATATAGTATTTCATAATTGTTTTTAATTTATTTATATTAATGGTGACCAAAACGTTTGAGACCCACTGAGATAACACTGAGAGAGTCCTTTAGCTCACTGAGTCTCTCAGTCTGACAGGGGAGGACTCTCCTCCACTTTGTTGTTGAAAAAACTCCATATATCTGTTAGCGTAGCTCGCTAGCACCAGAAGCTAACAACAACGATCTCCGGTACCGGTGCGCTCTCTCTCTCTCGCTCGTGCACGCACACAAAATGGCTCGTTCCACACACACACAGAGCCGAGCTTTAATGAAACACAGACACCCAGACGTAATAGTACTGTATCATATTATTTGCGAATCAATAATTTTTCAAAATATGATTGTTTTTTTTAAAATTTAAAATCTTTAAAAAAATAATAATTTAATAACCATTTTTTCTCCTGGTCTCTCTCGCGACCCCCCTGTCATGCCTCTGCGCCCCCCTGGGGGGGCGCGCCCCCCACTTTGAGAACCACTGCGTTAATGCAACAGTAGAATGATTTTGGGTCTGACAGTGTCCATCTGGACTTCGATTAAACAATAAAAAAAATGTTTAGACATCCCACTGGCTTTATTTTCTCCACTTCAACATGTGCCAATGACGTCGTCTTAATTTGTGCTAAGTGTAAAAGTACACCAACACCTTCGCTGCCAGCGGTGGGATTTAAGCTACTGTTGATGTTTGCCAACAGCCAGCCAATAACCTCACAGCAGTTCACAATGAAGAAAAGCTGTGGGGGTCCGGTTCCTTGCTAAAGGGCACCTCTGCAGTTCCCGGGAGACACACCCTTTTTAGGGACTCAAACCAGCAACCCTCCAGTCTTCTAAGTACCTACAGACTGAGCTATACTGCTACCCCAACAAAGGCATGCAGTGTATATAATGGGGATAAATTAACTATGCTGCTTGTTTGTTCGGTTTAGTTTTAGTCAGATTATAAAGCATCTGCCAGTGACACATAATGTTGTTGAATCTGAGGTCGTGCAGAGCTGATGAGGCAGACCCCCTGGAGGTTTATGAGTGTTAAAGTTGTGCCTGTCCAGAGATCAGCAGATGTTGCTTCCACTGTTCTCTGATAAGGACCTGCTGACTGAAGGGAGGCACTCTGTGTCTCGGACTAAGTAGTGTGTCTCACTGGGGAATAACTTTGACGTAAGCAGCAGTTCCTCAAAAAGGAGAGCGTGATGTCTTTCGTCACAACTTCACTTTTCCAGGCTTTAATGTCACAGGAATAAATCTCAGTGATTCTTTCTTATAGTCCATTTAGTCCCAACCAGCGCGTCTGTTTTAATCAATGGGGTTAATGCTCCAGACTTTTCACAGGGTTTCATTAGTCTCACAGCCACCTTTTTAAGGAGTTGCAGCTCTGATCACATCCGACACCACAGCTAGGCCATCACCCACACCAATCTACAATCCACTCCACTGTGCTGTGTTGAATCATACTGTCTGACCAGCTTTGCACACTGTTCTGATAAATAACTGTGAAGTGCTCTTAGCAGCCCTGTTTCCAACGGGCGACTGTCTGAGTTCAATCAATGCATCCGCCAGAAAACAGAGAGAGGTTAATGAGATTTTCCCTCATCGTGCCTTTGTCTTTTTACATCATAAACACGCTGTGGATGACACATCTACTTTGAAACATGATGTCTGCTGCTGCTTGAGATTCTTATTTGTTTGAGCTTATTTGCACAAATACTGTTGTATCTTTGTGTAGTACACCACAACATGCAGGTCTGGCAACAGTCTATGAAGGAGAATGCACAAGTCTTGCTAAAGAGAAAGTACAAAAATAGCTTTTTGCGTTATTTCCATACGTTACAGGATAAGATCAATACCACTTTTATGTCTGCGTTGTTTATGTAGCTATAGCAGCCAGTTTGAAACCAATAGCTTTGCTATGTTTAAAGGTAACAAATTCTGCATACTGGCAACTTGAATCGGTATAAAAAACAAACTGTAAGCACTGCAATATTCAAAATGTTTATGTGCCAGGATATTTATTTTTCTGTGACCAGTGACTTCACCGAGTCTCCGCTGGTTATCTGGCAACTTCTCAGAGCCAAGAAAGAGTCTGGCACACAACATCCTCAAATCATAAACTAGTGAATTGACATTAATACACTTCGGATTATTTCCTGATTAAACAAACACATAAATGTTAATTAATAGATGAACATGAACGTGTTTCTTTCTGTTTTCCCTCATGCTAAGCTTAGCTGTTGGCTGCTGGCGAAAGATTCATGTTAACTCTAAAGACATGAGCATGTTTTCTATTTTCTCATCTATACTCCCAAGAAAAAAATTCCTATTACCCACACATTTCCTACCAATAGATGACTTACTTTAAAAAGGGGTTGAATTGGGTTTATAATCTGGTATTTTGTTCACATATGTTCTTGATTTTCTCACTTGTCAAACCGAATCATTAACAAATGCATTTAACTTCAGTGAGAAAATCACTTTCAGAGTTGCCGTTAACCTCAGTAAGTGTGTCGTGTTTAAGGAGCTGGCATGAAGCTCTGATTGTGTACCTTTTGGTACGGCTAAATTTGACTCCACAGCACACAACCCTAATCAGCTGAATCAAAACAATCATTAACTAACCTCCCGTTGCCTCCTTTATTTTTCTCTGCCTCCTTCTCCCGCACAACAGAGGGCGAGACTCTAGACAAACACCTCAGAGACTCCTCGCTTCACCTCACACACCCCATGTCCCATCATCCCCTTTACTGAGCTCCATAATAATAACAGGACCTCACACACAGCACAGAGGCTGAAACAGTACTACACACGCTGAAAAAAACAAGCTTTCACAACACAATGTTCAGCAGATTTGAATATTATGTTGTTGACAATGTTCAGACATGTTTCAGCATGTAAATACGGATATGAATTATGAAATGATGTCTGTGTCCTGCACCTTTTCAAGCCTTTTACTGCCACATGATAATTGTGTGTGCAGGTTGTTTTTATGCATTACTCCTCTTTACAGCTACTCTGTTAATGGTGGAGCATGTACCGTAGCTGAATGGACGTTTTGATATAACTACACAGCACATTTCTTTATTTTAGAGTGTTTCCTGGCTTTTTATACTTAAAAGAAATGACACTGTCCACTCACAGAGCAAACATGGCTCTGGGTTGAAACTATGTAATAATGTTGAATTCATTCTACTGGCATAGAATTATCTGTTTCAGAATTAAATTAATGACCCCAATTTTGCTGTTTATGAAAGAGCTAAATATACTGTAGTCCTGTCAGCCTAAACATCCTTACAACATCGAGAACAGAATGTTTTTTGCAGTGAACAAATTAAATCCCATTAAACACTTTTGATACATGTTTTTCCTCTAATGAAACCTCAAAAGACAAATATGTTCATTTATATTTATATATAAAATCACTGTGGTACATTAATGTATCATTCTCACGTGTTCTGGTTATCTTAAGTAAACATTAAAACTATAAACAATGGGTTTTCGTCGGCGACACACCAATCTCCTCTGTGTTTATTCTGGCTCTTTAATGGTGTAAAGGTCGTAAACCTGAGACATTGGCCGTAATATAAGTGCTGCTCTCCCATTCGTTGTGAGGTTACAAGCAGGCCATTGATAGGCTGCCTCTGAATGGTGTTGGGAGGAAGCCATCTGCTCCTGTTTATGGTTCATTAACCCCGCTACCCCTGGATAACCAGGCTGCCCCCACAGCAACAGGTACAGAAAGCCGGGGCTCTGAGATGATACTCAGAAAGAATAATAACTGATCCAGTCTTGTTTTTGCTTCAACATGCACATGCTTAATTTAATCGTACCATTAACAACAATAACTGGAAAATTCTTACCTTCCCAGAAGTCCATATGCACACTGGGAATCTGCTAGCAGTAATGTGATCTCTCTCTTCTGCATGGACATGACACACTCCTCCAGGGCCTACAGGTGTCAAAACACATTGTGTTATTAAGAGGACAGATTGGGCTTTTTACATAATCACACTCAATACGTCATCACGTAGCGCATTTAATCAATTGACTAAGACATCTGAAGGATTTCTCCGTTTCAAGCTTGAGGAACAGTTTTTTTCCATTTCAGATTCATGATGGTAAATTGTTTTCAGACAGAATATCTATCTCCAATTGTCATACAATGTTATATTTTTGGTAACCAAGATTAGTCCTATTGATTTACGTGATCCTCTTACATTTCCTCCAGTCAACCCATGAGGTTGACATTGCTTATTATGAGTGAAATGTCTCAATCTATGGTTTAATGCTCTGATTTCTGAAAACTATGTAGCACAATGGTTTGGCTTATTGAAAGGTAATGTACATGCAGGGTTCTTGCTATTTTTATTTTGTATCTTCAGCTTTTGATAAAAGTGTCAGCTAAATTAAACCCTTTTTTTCCTTACTTTTTTGGTACCACCCTGGTCAAAGTTCTAAGTGAGCTGAGCCGTTACTAGAAGTGTGAATTCAAACACTACAGATCACTGAATGGTCAGAGAAAATCGTCACCGGCGCGACGCAGGACAAACACATTTATTTAGGATTCGGCCCAGATTTTAAAAGATGGAAGCATGCTAAACCACACCGTACATTATGGCATACAAATTAAAAAGTGTAGACGGTTTCTTAGCAGATAAAAGGCTTCAGCAAGTCTTGCATTTATTATGATGTTGTGGCAAATAGATTTGGGGAAAGGACCTGGCAAAAGAAAACAAAGAACACGTTGCATGACTCAATATCAGCACCACTAAGCTAAAGGTAATTTAAAAGCTTCACATGTTACCAGTGGGGTATTAAGTGACATAAGGAACAAGAAGTGCAAGAATTATAACCATATCCATTTCAAATTTGTATGACTCATTACTAATAAAACTAAAAGTGTTTTACCTGGTTAACATCTCCCTCTCCGATAACAAAGACCAGCTTGGTGTCCTTCTCCACCACAGTGCGGTCCTCCAGGACACACTGCATCTTCACAGAAACCTCCTGGCCCCAGACAGGTATCAGGGCGTCAGGGGCCCCAGACTTCACCAACTTCTTCCTCAAGAGTCGGTCCTCTGCGTGAGGAAAGAAAAGAAGGTCATGCAGGAAGAAGCAGGGTTAATCTGTTACTTGTTGGTAAACACATGCTACAAAATCCACCAAAAGAATCGGCAAGCTTGAGCTCGGGCCAATTTTGGGACATCGTCTAGTATTCTGTGGTTTCAATCTAATATGAAATGTAGAAGTTTAGATGAAGTAAATGAGCTACTACTTGATAGATTACTGATACGATATTACCTCACAATACCCAGTGTCTCAACACATTTAAAATGTGTGATTTGGGTTATATAAATAAACTTTAATTGAATTGATTTCCTCACCAGTGATGTCGAGCCAATCGTCTGCCCCAAAAAGCTCCTCAAAGGTGGAGGAGGTCCACTCTTCTGTCACATATTCTGGAAAGAGACTTTCTGCTGAGCTGTCTATCTCCAGCACATCGTCGTCCATCAATGGTTCTTGAAATCGCACCGTCTTCCAGCTGTTTGTTTTCTGCAGTTTCCTCTGCTCCTTGCATGCTGTGTCTCCACATTGCTCCGGATCAGAGGGCTTTCTTATATCGGAGCTTTGACTCTCTCCTGCACAGCTCTCTGCTTCAGCCTGCTCTTCCCCATGCAGCTCCTGGCCTTCCTCTGCAGACCCACAGGGCAGCTCGGTGTGAGTGTCATCGTCTGCAGGTTCAGTTATGGCCTCTTCTACTTCAGGTTTGGTAGGCTTTGCTGCGGGGTCGAACTCTTCACATGGCTCTGTCTCCATTTCAATGCAGAGAGCGACACCACCTGCATTCGCCTCGAGAAGGACTGATCCTCTCTGTCCGAGCCAATATTCCAATTGGTGCAGGTTAGTAGTTCTGTTGAGTAGCAACTACTAAACTCTGTGAAAACATAGAAAAAAATATCTCCATGACATAATGTTGACAAAAATCCATGTTGTGCTTTAATAATCCAACTCAGGAAGAATCCCTTAATCCCGGCTTCATCTACAGTTCTTTGTCCCGCCTGCTGCTGCGTAGTTTTTGCAGGTTTTGTTGCACTTTGACCTCCTCACACTCCTGCTTGTGTTTATCTTAGTCTACATGGTCCATTGATGTGGCAACGACAAAAAAATGATCAATGTGAAGAAACCATGCAACGCAGCGAAGCACTCCCAGCCAGCAGGCTTGTGCAGTGGTAATCTGCAGGATTAGAAGAGAAAAACCTAATCTGCCAGAACGTCTGTAAGCTTCTTAATGACTTCGCCGTCGTGCCCCACAACACAGTTTCCATGAATGCAATCCACCAATAAGATCTCAGGAGATACAAACTCTTACTTAATTTGCTTTGGGTTAGGTTGGAAGATGTTTATTTTCACTTGTCAAGGAGTGTCATAATAATCTGCAGGCTGTAAAACATTGTAATGTTTTTAACCCATGAAGGTGAATAAATGATGTGGTTTTCTGTCAGGTTTATCAAGACATTTAATTCAACTTAATTTCATAAAAATACAGATAAAAGCTAAACTCCAAGTATTTAATGGGAAGACTTTATTCCTTTCATTGGAGCATAATTCAATTCAGCAGAATACGTCTCAACTGCATGTTGCGACATTAAAATAGCAGGGTTAAAGTGACGATTTTAAGATAAGAGTAATCTACATCTTTTATTAACATTTATACCATAATAAAGCACTGCATCATACATCAAATTTACAGCTGATGTTCCGGCCACAAGACACATATTTTGCTTAAAACATCACATTTTTCACAGATGGTGATAACAGGATTACAATTATGTTAATAAAAATGTCATATGACTTCAAAGGCATTATGAATCTGTAATTTCATTGAATGAATAGCACATGTTATTTTACCCAGTTGTCCTCCATTGAAAAGTTATTTATCATCTAACCAAAGGTAATAATGAACAATGAAATATTATCAGATATGTGGCTGTTATGTCCCTGCAGGAGCAGGACTAGACTCATGTAGTGCTGATGATAGACAGAAAACATCCTCCCGGCCATATTGTAAATAAACCCTGCGTTACTGACTGTCAGGCTACTCTTTAATCCTCAACCAAAACATGTTGTCCATCAGAGATTAAATTAATCCCAATTCCCTATTTGTCATTTTCATTTCTATGTTACACAGTTACAAGATGCACACACTGTTAGTATAAAGGGAACATTTTAGGGAGTTTTTTTGGATAAATACTTTTTTTAGTGTATGGGATTGTATTCCATCTATAAAATATCTTTAAGAACAAATACTTTTGATTTAATAGTGTACTTTTTAGAATGTTGAGACTTTAGTACTTTCCTTATAATAAATGTATGATACAAGTTGGAAGTTTCTCTGCACTGCACAAATACATACTAATGTCTTGACATTATAATAATATTGTCACTCGTAACAGGTTTTGATTTGTCGTTCTGGAAAACGAAAGTAAACTACTTATTTAACTCGTCCTTCCTCTGTGTGTGTGTGTGTGTGTGTGTGTGTGTGTGTGTGTGTGTGTGTGTGTGTGTGTGTGTGTGTGTGTGTGTGTGTGTGTGTGTGTGTGTGTGTGTGTGTGTGTGTGTGTGCGTGTAGCGTGTATATTGCGTGTATAGCGTGTATAGTGTGTAGTGTGTGTTAGCTCCGCCCACAGCCTCTCTCCTCCGTGACGTAGCAGGCAGTATGTCGCCAATAGTGTCCAGTTGTAGAAATGGCAGCGCTGAGACAGGAGCATCGGTATGGGCTCTCCTGTGGCAAAATCAACAAAAACAACCCAAATCAAACTCTATATCACGTCAAACTCACTGACACTGCCATCCGGACCCTCGAAGGCTACCAGAACCTGAAGGTAAGAAAAAAGATCGTCTTGAACTTTGGAGCTAGTGTGTGTTTTTTCCAGCTATATTTTCTATTATCTAAATCGCCTCCCAACTCCGGGAACTGTAAAATCCCTGTTGTTTGGAAGCTCGTTCTTCCCTTTTACTAGGAAAAAAAGTAAAGTTTAAATAGTTGAGGTGGTCTTATCGAAAGAAGTTGGTGGTTGTTAATGTTGTTTTTGTGTTTGGCTGTTAGAGAAGGCTTAGCTGGATGTATTGTGATCATAACAGGCAATTCAATAGATCTGATGAATGACGGGATTTCATTAAATTCCCCCTTTAAACCCTGAGTGAAATGTGTTTTGTGCAGAAAAGGGCAGGGTATTTTCATTTCTGCAAAGCGTAATCTCCCTAAAAACCAAAAGGTATTAAAGTTCACGTATGACAGGCAGAGGTTTGTGATAATGCCCTGAGCTTTAAAACCTTTGTGTTGTCTCTGCTTTCTACACATACATTACATGTGAAATTCATTATTTAGATTTAGGGCGAACACATTATTGTCAGTCATTAGATGTTTTTTTCTAAAGGCAGTTTTTGTCTTGCTTGTTTCGCTCTCGGGAATAAATTAATGAACAAGCTATCAAGCAAATTATTCGACTACTTTGAATCAGGAGACTGTTTTATTGCTTTTATGGTCCATTAGATTAGACCGAGTTAATTTAGTCTATCCAAATGGTGTCTCCCAGAGCAAGGCTTGATAAGTTAGTCCCACAGTTAGGACAGTGGCTCATTTGCTGAGGATTTTTTTTGTTGGGTTGCAAGTGGGGAGGAGGGAGGTCAAAACAAATAAGTGTGTGGCCCGGAATAGACCTGGTCTCAGCTGTATAGTCTGCATTGGGCTCGACGAGTTGTCGCTGGGGTCTTGTGTGTTATTGTTTTTTTGCTCGCCCAGCTGAGTAAAGCAGAGTAAACTCCAGATCTCACACAGCCTGACAGCCTCCTCCAGGCCACACCAGACAGGAGAGGTTACTGCTAAACTTTTCCAAGTCAAAGACCATCCCATGAAATACTGTTTTAGACCCCCACTGAGATGAAGGAGATGTGCTCAGGAAGCTCAACCTTAAAAGAGTTTCCTGTTTTCAGATGTGATTTGTGAATGAATTTCAATTTACTCTAATTTAAACAATACTTTTAAAAAGCTGAGTCTCAACTTAGATGTATACAATTTTCTCAAAGCTGAGGATATTTCAAAACTCATTTTGAAGGGAAATGGGTTCAATAATATCCTTGCAGATTTAGAAAAACAACAAATATATGTCATTTATACTAAGATATACTAAGATAGGTTGGAAGCAGTGCATTTTGGGCACTTTTGCTTAGTAAATTACCATAAGATTAATCAATGATATAAAAATGTCTACCGAATCCTGTAATTCATTAAACTGTATCTTATACAACACACTTTATAAAGGGTTTATTAGTGTAAAGCTCCATTACTAACAACAACTTTGGGTTGCCAGGTTGTGAAAATCCTTTCCGCCCAAATGCTTTGTATCCATTTTGTAAACATGCAGTTATAAATGGCAACAAGAACTCATGGGTCTCTCACTCTCTAACAAGCCATCATGTAGGCATTTATAAATAAGTTATTAATACATTAATTGGGATCAAATGCTGCAGACGGATGAGGATCAACACCATGCAAAGGGATTTTTCACCAGAAACCTATATGTAAATTATTATCTGTGGCTAAACACTAATCAATCAATTACATTAAAATAGCTTTATTGGCATGACCATAATGACATACAATATGGCCAAATACTTGTATATGTGCTAGGGATGCACGATATTGGGTTTTTGAAACCGATACCGATACCTTCCTGCTTCTCAAGACCGATACCGATAATACAAAAAAATGTACGCCACTAATTATTTTAACGCGATTAACGCATGTGTATTTTTTTTCCTTGGCCGCCCCGTAGTTTCAGAGCGCATCGAGTTTAAAATACCATCTACAAGCTGATGCTGACAGCCCCGCTCCTGCCGCCCGCTTGTGGCAGACCACACTTCCACGCTCACCGGCAGGCACCGACTGGCCATCTGGAGGACCGGGAGGGTGTGTGTGTATGTGTGGCCCGAGCGAGCGAGAGAGAGACCTTACGTGCATTGTTGTTGTTAGCATCTGGTGCTAGCTAGCTGCGCTAACGGATATAAGGAGCTGTTTAAATGAAAACAGAGGAGCGACATTTCGCCACAACTGCGCCGAGCACTTTACTTTATGCAGGAAGCCAGACAGTGGGACATTGTACGAAAAGTCAGCACACTCAGCACGGATAGTGCGCAACATGATTGCAGCGGCCGTCCAAGCAGCTCCGGTTCGAGCATATGCCTTGAGTTGCACATAGCTCCAACGCCCATACCACCGACGACATGTTTGTTTACTGTCCTGGCTTCACGGCCGCACACCATTTACGTCACAGCCAGGCATGAGTTAGGGAGCGCTGGATTTGTGAAGAACTCCCCTCTTCCTAAACCACTAATACCACAGTACTGGCAAAACGGGAGGAGCCGAGTCAAAAACAAGCGCACCCCATCCCAATCCACCCACACCGCAGTATTTTTTTCTTTTTTTTTACCCAAAAAATATATTGTATATTATCGGGGCTATTCATACTGGTATCGGGTTTATCGGGATGACGTCATAATTCCTAATATCGGACCGATAATTATCGGGCCGATAATGATCGTGCATCCCTAATATGTGCCATATAAGTGGTATAAATGGTAACAATGGATTTGCTAATCCAAAAATATTAATAGATTATTGTCATATTTTAAATCATCATTATCAAAAACGAGCTTCTTTATTTTCACTTGTGATAAACCATCTGATTTTGCCCAGGGCCTTGTTGTCACAAACAGTATGTGCTTTAATATTTATTATTTCATTCAATATTAAACGCTAACGGGTGATGAAAAAAATCACAACAATACTCTTCAATAGGGAAGAGATCTCCCAAAACCATAAATAATAAATTGAGAGTGCTGTCAATCACAGGTACAGCTGTACTTGGCAGATAATTGTCTCCATCTATTAACTATGTATCATGTAGACTCAAAGGCAGATTCTTTTTTATTTCAATATTTCCTTATCAGTCGGGGGGAAAATATACAATATGATGTTCTGGTGCTTGGTTCACCATGGTCTTGGAGATCAGTACAGTTATAAACCAAAGCAAGAAGGGCTTATAACAAGTTAAATATTTAAAAAAATATATATATATATATTTCTTTTTAAATATATATATATATATATATATATTTTTTTTTTTAAATGGAGATTTTTTTGAATTTGTGATTTGTAAAAAAATAAATAAAAAGGAACAAACATGCTCAGCAACTGACTAACGCAAGCAACATTCCTGTCGGCTATAGATTGCTTTATCACAAACACTCCCCTGACGATTTGGGAACCAGAAACCTATGAATTGTACATTTAATGATATTTAAATATGGCTGCAATTCATCAGTGTAAACCCGGATTGGAAATGTGAATTTTAGCAATGTTTTGGCATTTATTGAGGAAAGTTTACCAAGTCTCATCACATCAAGCAAGGCTGCTGTTATCTAGAAAAATCCACCATGCAAAGCTTAAACAATGGCGATATATTTTCACTCATAGTGTATGAACTGTCCATTACATTTGACTTAATTCCGAAATCACTGACCAGTTTCTTCTCTCTCCCCCCCCCCCCCCCTTCAGGCATCACTACCAAGTCAGCCAGCGATTTGCTTCAAGGGGAGCCAAGGGGTAAGATGTTTTGCATGTTCTCCTAATGCCTCAGAAATTGAATGCTCTAATTGGTTCTGTTTGCTGTTGAACGCACTTGTGACAGTTCCTCTGCACATCTTATTTGATTATTAAGCACTCGCATGCATCAATGGAGAGGTCAAAAACACTCTCACTGAAATGGCAATCATGGATTTTGTTAGCTTGGACTTTTATTTTTCTTAAAACCAAAAGATGCAGTGATCAACGCTGATATTGTGGCTACTTTGAATGCAATAGAGCCCAAAGTGTGATAGAAAGATGTCTATTAATTTGCTCACTTGTACCATGGTGTATTAAATATCAAAGACAAAGTACATAATCTACCAAAATACTTGTCACTGAGAGCACGAGGGCATTCCTGTATAGCGTATGTAAAGAAAGATGCCTGTGTCCTTCCAGATTAGCCGGGCCACTATTACACCCGCCCCAGCTCTGCCTGCTAGGCTACTACACATTTACCACACAATCGGCCCTGTCTAAAAGGAGCTGGTCTAATCCCCGCAAGAGCCGATTGCATTGACGAAAGTGACTTTGCTCTGTACACAAATGCCAGCCCTGTGTGCTCACATAGACCCTGGAAGCCCTAAGACAGGGTACGCTATACCCCCAGGCTGCTAGCCAGGTTACTGGGTCAGGCTCGCAACTGGGGAGGCTTTGTTCGGGGAGGGTGAAGAGGTAGGGGGGGGGGTTGGCGAACCCCAGGGAGCCCCCATGCCTCCGTGCCTGTTGTCTCCGTGCAGACATGAGAGATATGAAATACAGGAATGATACATGAGCGGTGGAATTTTTTGCGAGGCAGGATGCAAAATGTGTCTCAAACTAAAATAATATTATGTAAACATGTAATGAAACATCTGTAAAATGAGCGGCAGATTAACCTGCTCATAAGAGTCTTTCTGTGAAGAAATGTTAAGTGAGGGCAATTTAAGTGTGCTTTAATCACTGAATAGGATTTGGTGATTATATCTTGGTTGGCACATTACATATTCAAATTGCTTTGCGGAATTCAAGCACGGGCTCCCTCCCCCCCTGACAATAGTCCCAAAGCTGGACGATTGGGCATTAATGAGGTAGCTGCAACCATTGGTGATGGGGGAGGCTAGATTAAGCCGTTAGTGGGGGGAGGATGTTGGTGAACATGGCAGTCTGGCATACAACAGACCGAGAGGATCACCAGTATCTGTGTCTCCACATTGGAGGTTTACAGCATCACAGATGTAGCCACTTTTTAGTTGATGGATACGTGTTTGCCCGAGATCATCCCTTCCCAAAAAGCAGCATGAGCTTCTAGAGGTCATGTGTAGGGAGTGAGGAGGCTTGTGTCCACTGACAGTTGCCAGCTGTAGAGCTCCATCACAGAAGCCACGACTGCTCCTCTCTGATCTTTGTCCTCACTGGCTCATGTCACATTTCCTGTAAAGGGCACTTCCTGGGCCACAAAAACCAGAGGAATTCTTCAAATCACTGTCGTGGCTTCACTCCAGGGCTCAGTGGTATCAAGGCCATGGCTCCTATCGAGAAATAGCACGCTGAGGTTTTTCGGCTGCCTTTCTCTCCGACCCTGCGGCATTTAGCCTTTCTGTTGTACATTTTCTGCCAAGCTTGTTATCATGCGATGAAAGACACAGGCTCACAGATGCCTCTGAATCTAGTGTTCAAGGCAACTTTGAAACTAACAAGTTTCAATCAAAACATGTGCTATTTTTACTCACTTGAATGAAGTATAAACAGACGTAAAAAAAAATGGATGATATTGGAGGAACGTGAACCAAATGGGTTTGATCAATAACTAGCGTCTGGCAGTAAAAGGAAATACAAATAATAAATGGAAACTGAAGCAAATCCTAAGAAACAGGAAGAGTAGAGAGATCATCTTTTTTACATAAAACGTGGATACTTTGAAATCACCAGGGATTAAGGAATATATTCAGAGCTGGTCTGGGTTCCCATGGCCAGGAATTTCACATCCTAGTGCTTATTTTCCTTCAGGGCTGGCAACGCCGCCTGCTTGTTGGCATGATCTATCCATTTAGAAAAAAATGAAGCTTGTGTTACTTTCCGATTTATTAGATCAAGGCTGTAGGAGTGAATGAAGTATGTTTTATCCATTGTTATTTCTTAAAATAACATTCTTCACATACTTCTATTCCTTGATTTCCCCCCTCATACCTCTGTATTGGTGAGTAAGCACTGCATCTCAGCATTAAGTGGTTCTGTAGTATTCTGTTCTACTGAACTTATCTTTTATACGTGTTATATTGCCGTAGTAAACATGGACATTACATTTGAATACACTGTGTTGTGCTGTGTCAGATGTGACAACGGTTTAATTTCTTCCTCAGTTCATAAATGTTGAAATGCAGTTGCCTAGGTAATTGTTTTCTTTTTATGGCCCTGTCTGCATTTATGTGCACAGCTGTCACACAAAGGCAGTTGTGTTGGGATGAGGGGAATGTAGAGGTACTTTAAAACATATTCTCATGACGACTGTGTGTGAAGGCTGAGCTTCCCTTGGGCTCCCTCCCGCCGGCCCTCTTGATTATTTTGCCATTTCACCCCATGCCTTGGCTGAGTCCTTGGGAGACATCAGGGCCTCTATCTCACACACGGCTGCTCTGACTCTACCCCCCGCCACCACGCCGCTTTGCTTCGCCTCCCGCTCGCACTGCAAACAAGCTTTTGCAGTGTGCAAGTGTGTATGTGTCCATGCACACATGATTTTTTCTCCTTTTTTTTTTTCCTGGAAGCTAATTAGAATAACAATAACAGGAATGCGGTTTGAGAGCCGTCTTCTCCCTGTGGCATAGCAGTGAGAGGGAGAGTTGTCCCACGTGTTTCTGAAAGGGCACACGCCGCTCTATTCATCCAGATGTGTTAAGCGAGGCAAAAGTCTCTGTGTTCTCCGCTCGTCTGAGACCCAATGTGTTTACGCAGGGCTAGTTGGCTTTAGGATCTTTGGATCATACAGTATATTTTGGGAACAAGCCCCATGAGATCCTGCAGTTAAAGAGGACTTCTCTTTAGTTAGCTCCTCTGTCATTATTGTGTTCTTCGCTTCAAACAAGGGATTTCGAAGGATGCCACGGTGACTGTGGCAGTGTTTTAGTTGTATATTTTAGGGTTTTGAGAATGCTGTAAAAGAAATGAATAGCACAAACTGGGCAGGCAGTGTGACTAAAGATGGCAACATGCAAGTGTAATAAAATATATAGATATATACTTGCCAGAATTAGAAACAGAGTGAAACACACACAGAGTTTTGTGTTTTTGCTATGTTTACATTCCCATTCTGAAACCATTAGGACCAAAGTTGTCGTCGTCACCCTGGGAAACTGGAAATAGCAACCAGGAAAACTCACAATAACAACACGGGCTGCTTTAAAAAAATGTAGCTGAGGGAATATGCCAATTTAAAGAATGTTTTATTTGTTTTTAAGTAATAGGTTGCATATCCCAGAACTCAGCAAGCAAACTCTTGAAAGATTCAATGTGGACAGTCATAAAATATTAGCATTGACATCTAATCAAAGGCTATAAATGAGATGCTGTTTGTGAGTAAATGCAGCAGACTGATATTTTAGATTGATGATAAATGTTTGGGCTCTCGAGCTGTGTGCTCATTTACCCCAAGGTCTTGTTTGGTATCCGTAAAAAAGTGGAAAAGATGACTAAATATAATGCTTATTATGCTGTGTGTAATTGATTGCAGTATGGTGCTCCAATGTATTGAAATGCTCTAAATCAAATGCAGTATGTGACAGTGTGTTAACTACATTTTACAGTCAGTTGTCTTGTTAGTTGCGTTCTTGAAAAGCATCCGTAGTTTTATAAGCAAAAGTATTTTAAATAAATGTAGGATTATTATAATAAAGTTACCATTCAAATAACTTATAAGTGTTATGATCCTACTGTGCAAAGCTGGTGGTTACTAAGCATCTAATAAGTCTCTGGTACTGTAAAAAGAAAACAAAGTTGACAATAAGGAAATGTTTCATACAGTGTCATAGGAATTGCCCTCTAAGGAATCACAAATATTTTGTTCTTGGGTTAAAATATGTGGCATAACAGGATATGAGCAGAACAAATATTGCAAGTAAGCATGGGCAATGTTTTTGTTTACAGTCGTAAGGAAGCTTAACTCCAAAGGCTTGAAACCAACACCAGAGAGCTATTGTTTAACCCAAAAACACATAATTCAAGCTGGCTTATATAATCCTTATTAGTTTTTGTCCGAGGTTACACACAACATAAAAAGGATTGTCTTATCCAACACAGAAAGCAAACAATGCCTACAAATCAACAAGGAAGCTTGAACGTTTTAATAAAGCAACGTGGGCAATATGGGATACTATTTAACTCATAAAGCTTATCATTTGAAACCAAACACATATATGTTCTTACTATTGTATTAGAGATTGACAGCTTGTGTGCATTATTTCCCCCTGTTTATCCAAGTTTCCCTGCAAGTTAATCAGTTTTGAACATACTTTCCAACGCACAATCTGTGAATTGTTAAAGGATTACAGACTGCCTGCCTGCATGGAGAGAAAAGTCCGGTAATGGGAGTATAGCACTACATGTGGTTTGGGGGATTGCTCCGGTGAAACAGGCTGTGAATCAACAAGGGAAAAACCGTACTGTTGTCAGTGCATCTGAGGCCCTAATAACCAGTGTGTTAAGGGAATTAGAAAATTCCCAAACACTGTCACCATCCAATGCAAATTAGACAAGGTTTAGACGGGGGAATCCATATAGAGGGAAAACATGTCGCAACGCATTGTGAACAGAGGAAACTGCCTTACACCTAACATGGGCTTTTAAAAAAAAACTCCATCCCTCTGTGTATAAAGAGAAAGGCACCTACAGTAAGGAGGGTTGGGGGTGTCGGGGGAGGGGAGACGGAGAGTGTTCGTTGAGGTTGACAGATTAGCACCAGCCTCTTGGAAAAAGACTGATTCTGCTTGGCATAACAGGCAGTACCTTGGGGGATGCTCGACAGTTGCCCATCCCCATATCCCCTCACTAACTCCCGTCAGTCCCCACCCCCCTTCTTTTGCTTTCCTGTCTCTACCAACCCCCCTCTATGAATAGATCCTCGAGCACAGGAACCACCACTTCCATTCAGGCTCAATGAAAGCATGATTTAGACTACAAGAGGTGATGCCACATGTTTTTAACAAATCTGAGTCACAGTGCAATTGTTGATTAAACTGTATAAAGCTTGGGGACAGTAAATAAGAGTAATGAGTGGGACCCCCTTCTCTGGGACAGTGCACTTGCTTCTCTGAATGTGACACTTAAACAGGGCTGACAGTTTATTGTTTTACTCTGTCAATGCATCACTTGTGGAGTCTATATGATGTATGATCTATATAACATTTTGCACTAACAAATGAAAGAGGAACAAATACACTTGCTGCAGCCAGTATCCATCCCCCTCTTCTTTGCTGATTTTCTCGTCCACATTCCTAAAGGAAGACTATTTAGGACCATCCCTCATGCACTGGCTCTACTGGGAGCCACCGACACCCACCTTCACCCCCCTCCCCTTCCACCATACACACCCCAAACCCCCAATCCCTCCCTTTACCCTCAACAACACACAGCCACACGTCCCCGCTGTTCATGAATAATCCAGGCGGCCCGACAGGCCATTGCACTCAGCTTTGTGGGGGAAGAAGCTAGAACAAAAGACGGGCAGCTCACAGAGCAGCTATGGCTGAGTAGGCTCAGATGAGAAGACAATGGTAACTAGTGTCAGTACAGACAGGGGCAGGAGGCAAAGACTTCAGAGTAAATCACATATCCAGGCGCCGGATCTCAGTATTGCCATGCCAAATCCAGAGCTGGGAGCCTTGCTTTCGTCTGCAGAGCAAAGACAGAGTGAGAACTATCCTCTCATCTTTCCCTGCAGATGTTTGGCCTGCAGAATCACAGGACTGGGGGGGAGGAGATCCCTTCAGTAAAGCTCTTTTTGCTTCCTCAACAAATGGCAGGGTTAAGATCTCCGTTTAACCTCATCAAAGATGAGCAGTTTAAACATGCTCGGGATTTAAAGATGAAGTTTTACAAGGACATCACGACGGTGTCCTTTGTCCTTGTTCAACTGCTGAGCCCCCTGCCAAGAGTTTCTGTTCCAGTCCAGTTCACACCTTACAACAGCTTGAAAGTATTTGACATCTCCAAACACACAGACCCTGGAGTAGCAGATGTGGCTGGCCGAGGCCACAGAGGCAGTTATTGTATCAGCCTGTACGCCCCATGGGGGGCTGCACTGACAAGGTGCTAAGGATTGCCGTTCTGAAGCCATTTGGTTACTCTGACTGTAACTACCCAACGGCTAAACCTGACTCATACCAAAATACTGCACACAGCTCTCACTGCTCCGTTCTTTTTTATAAAGCTGTTTAATTGTATTTAACTGACACATGTTAATAGTACACTCTGATGACAATAATACCCCATTAAGCTTTTCTATGATCCCTATCCTCATATTAATGGAATCACACAAATATAATTAGAATTATGGAGCATTAGCAAATTAATTATTTTCCTGATCCTGAGATGGACAAATAATGCTTATTTAATAGCTATCTCCATAATTACTAAGAATTCTCACAGAGGAAATAGCAATACAAATGTTACATCAGGAAATCATTTGAATAAAAACTAAAATCATTACTATCTTAAGTGCATTTTAATAGTTACAGTGGCATATTTTCAAAAAAACACATTTGTTTTTTATAGTTGTATATATATAGTTTTATATCTGAGTCAAAATAAAGGGTCATTAGTAGCTTTCAGCTTATTCATCAGAATCATAATTCCTTTATTCGCCCCACAGAGGGGAAGTTTACATTGTTACAACAGTATAGATAGGTATCATAGATACAAATATTCATCATGGGATTAATCTCCTTTGGAGACCCATATACCACAACATGATGCCCGTCTGCAGTATATGTGTGCCATTCAATCAAAGCAGCAGACATAATATTAAATGTAAGCATAACATTAGTGCTCTATGAACCACTCAGCTAAGCCGAATGAAATGTGGTTATTGTGTTTGATGGCTGTGAATACATGACTCATAGTCCCTGCTATGTGAATATTGAAGCTATTCTATGCACTGACATCTCTAAAAACTCTTCTGTTTGTGCTTATTTTTGACTTATTTACATATATTTAAATTAAGGATTGTTAATTCTGTGCCTTTGTTTACATTTGAGTTTGTCCATTGTGATTCATAAAAAGTGTAACTAATATTAGACTGTCTCTGTGGACAACTAGATATTTGACCTGACTCCCTGCATTTGCCCTGAGGGAGTCTGAGGCTTCCTCAGCTCGAAAACAGAAAAAACAACCACATAAACATACATGCATACACACACATTCACAGCCTCAGGGGATCAGTCCAAAGCTCCATACGGGGATGTCTATGACTCAGCGTCTCTACGTAAATTAACACCAACTAGTTGACTGACTGCTTTTTCAGGATCACCGACCTATAGCTGAGTTTTGTTATTGATGTGCAGGGAAAATGTCAAATGTCAACTACTGACCAGGTAACATGATAGTGAATATGGTATTTCCTGAAGTGATAATACAGATTACGAACAGTGGAGTCAGAAGCAGAGTAAGAACATTGTCTCCTACCATGGATACAATATATAATTAATATATATATATATGCTATATGAATTAATAAAACATTATGGGTTTGAACTTCAACTGTTTTCAACATTGAGTTCCGATTATTAACGTTAACCAATTATACTTAAAAAAACAATACATTTGTTTCTCTTTCAAATGCCACATTTGAACTTATAAGCATTAAAACGCACCATAGCTCAATACAATACACTCAGATGTCTGAAGCTACAGGTGTAGCTACTTGATCTTGTGGCTATACTGGATATTTGATGGCAATATCAATAATTGAGATACATCTGATGATGGTTACTTGTATGTAATGGAGACACTGTTTCTTAATCACCCAAAACATATTCTGGGCATTTCTCTACTGACATGTGTTCTTTGTTTCAGCAAACATATCAACAGCTAAGCTAAGCTAATTGTTTTAGCTACTTGAAAGTGAATATGTTTTTCTTTTCTCAACTATTTAATACTTCTGATTGTTGATTTTTGCTGAACTTTCAAGTATAGGGCCTGATGTTCAACAGACAGGCTCTTCTTTAAGAGTCAGAAACTGGGAACTAATGGGTTAACTGACATATGGTTATGTAGCATAGAAGGAAGCTGTGAATAAAACGGGGGCGACCTCTGAACAGTCTGACCTGACTGACATTGATTAGACTTTGAATGTGAAGTGTGCACGGTGGCATGGATGGGGGTGACAGGCAAATCTAATGCATGGCTGGAGGGGCTCATACTGCTGCCATCGATTGAAAGAGGGGACATGGTGGCACTATTACGATGCTAAATGTGCTCTCACCTCATCAAAGGCTAGCTTTTGTTTAGCAGGACTCTCAATTTATAACCAATTCAGTTCTTCTGCATGCCCTTCTCTGCGTCAATTACCCTGTTTCAGTCACTTGTTGCTTCTCATTTTGGTCAAGGCACATACTACTTTACTCTCTTAAAGTTAAAGGTCCTGAGGACATGGCTTGCCTCATGTCCCTGCTGGCTTTGATGTTTTTTTGGTTGATCGTCCTTAATTAGCGTAAAACCCAATGTAGACGTATGTCAGACTCCGCTTTACCACTTCATGTGAACGGTCAGACATAAATAGGTCAGAATTAATGGTCATCTGTGTGTCTCAAGTGTACCCGGCCTTGTGGGCTGCTTTGCGTTTTTTGTTGACATGGGTGGGCTTGTGCACATGAAGGAAAGCTGGAGGCTATTGGGGGTTGGGTGAATGGCATGCGTTGGGTTTTAGAAGAGGAGGAGGGGTGTCGAGGAGAGGAGCTGTTCATTGGCTCCGTGCTGCAAAAAAACTGCTTATGGCTTTGCTGCATGACTGGGCATTTGTGACAGCTATAGTCCTGCCTGCCACATCTGCTAGGGACACTGTGCTCTCAGCCAGTCAGCTTATAATCAATCACTTACGACGGATAACTAAAGAGGCAGCTTCAGGTCCATCTGACTAACGTTTGTTTTTCTGAGAGCTCTTAAAGCGCCTGTGAGCTGTTGCAGCCATTTGAAATTAAGTACTACTCATTAGTAAGCACATATACATGCATGTAAAGGATGTTTGATTATCATTGGCTTTCTGTTGAATCTAGGACACTATCAACAAAAGTACTAAACTGTAAATGTACAGGCTGAAACACAGCTGCAGGCGCTGTATGAGAGAGCCTATGCCAATTGTGTTTCAAAGAACATGTTACCTGTTGGTTAATGACTTCCTATGGTTCTTATTAGTGGAAGTAGGTTTTTGGGTCATTTTATGTAATAGGTTTCTAGACTCCAGCCTGCCGGCTTGGTTGTTGCTAGGGAGCCTCAGACAGTCTGTGACAGAGGAGGTTATCGCCACAGTGAAAAAGCTGTCCACTTTACTATTGTTGTGTGTTGCCTTTCAGACAGGCTCCTCCCATGAGTGGCTACAGGTCATCATCTCTGACCTAAGCGTGACAATGTAGCCCCTCTGAGAGGGAATTATTTAGGTCACATTTTAAAAACTACCAGTGAATAAAGATGACTAAAATGGGTTCAATAAAAGAAGCTGCTTTGTTAATTTTCAGGCTACATTTGAGATAAAACATGCATATTAGTTAACACATGACTCAAATAAGGATTATTTCTGTTTTTCATCTTGAAACACTCTAAACTAAGCTTCTATTGATTTGTATACTAATTATTTTATTTTTCTTACAGTATGTAAAGATCCCAGCGCCAACCCCTGAAGCTCCAGATGGATTCAGAGTTTTCTCGTTCTACCTTTCCAGTGACAGCAAAGACAAGCCTCAGTCCAGCTTTGACTGCATTCACCAGTATGTCTCAGGGTAAGCAGCACACATAACTCTTTCCACGGTCGACCACAAATGGAATTTGTAGTAAATGTGGTGTCTGGGACTGCAGTGCCTTACCAAACACTGACTTCTCTCTTCAGTACTACAACAACAGACAGTACTACTGTCAGGCTATATTAAAACAACACTACAATAACACCTAAAGGCCGTCATACCACTACTGACCTAAGAAGGTGTGACCAGTAATTATTGAGAACAGAGCAGTAGTGTTTGCAGCTAAGCAATGTGAAAGGGTTGGTTAAATGCTTAGACTAGTGTTGTCAGACTTTAAATCTTTTTAACTGAACACAGTACTAGAATTTGCTAGCAGGCAAAAGTCACAGACCCGGTTACATATTTATATAGAATTTGTAAGCTTCAACTCTCCTCCACACAGGGAGGGCAGGGATCACCTGGAGGGCCAGGGTAGCATTCAGGACAAGATCACCGTTTGTGCCACAGACGACTCCTACCAGACAACCCGGGAGCGCATGTCTCAGGTGGAGAAGGACATCTGGAGCCGCTCAGCAATTGAGATCAAGCCAGGGCCAAGTAAGCTTTTGCCTATTCACTGTATCAAAATGCTGGTGTATCTTCCTGCCTCAAGGACAGATCATTTGAGTTTTCATGTTCCCAGAAAGTTTCTGAACCATTGCTTCTAACCATTTTATCATGCTGATAATTGCCATATGGTGTGGAAGTTATCACATAATTGATCAAAGAGCTTCATTGCAATTATTCATGCGAGAGGGATGCCTCTCTGTCTTGTAATTTTCCTTTCATTTTGACCAGATTGCTCAGGCACTGTGCCAGCTTGCCTGCCAGCACCGTTAATGTGATTGAGTTTGCTAGAACTATGCGTTAACAAGTCTCATGCTGATGAAGTTTTGCCTAAATTCTAATTACACTGACTCAAATTTAATTAATTTTCTTTTGATAAAATACTACTAAACAGCATCTAAAGAGGAGTCCATGCTTAACCTCGACCGATTGGGTCCCTAACAGGCAGGATCTTCTACTGTCAATTAATTTCTCTTATCACTGCCTTCTCCTTGCTCGTGGTTTTAGACTCATTGTCGATTAAATTGAGCATGCTGCAACTTTATAAATGATCTAAACATGAAGCTTCATGACATTTACAGGTCCCATGGGGATTTAAATGTTTGTGTAGATCATATTTAATGAATAGAAACACACTGCAGACCAACACTAAAACATGCTGCTACGGTAATTGCTGTATCAGCCAGCTGTTGGAGGTGGTTCCTACACTTCGCGTGCCATGCCTTGCTGCCCAAATTGTCTCTCAGAGGCTCTTACAAAATAAATGTAATCTGGCACATGCATGCATCTAATAAATGTTAGAAATGCATGAGAAATCTCTGTTAAAACATGCAGTTACAGCATTCCCCGATTTACTTGAACATGTCTTGCAAAGCACATAGCTTTCCTTACTCCCGCGGAAAGCAGAGAGAGAAATCCATGGGTTTTGGATCACAGTATGTGCGATATGCAGTGGAGAGCACATAGTTGTTTCGTGGTGACTGACTGTCTTTTTATGGTACAGTAAAGCTATACTCATCAGAAAAAATGTCCATATACCAACTCAAAATGACAGGTTACGGAGTAGAAAAATGTCCACTTAAGACGAGGATGTATGATTTAAAGTTCAGTTGCATTCGGGGAAAAGAGGGCACTGACAATAAGCAGTGTGTGCACACACCAGATGTCGGACAAGTTGTAAAAGTTCAAAGGAAAAATAAATATAAAAAGAAATCAAATATATTTTGAAGCCATTCATTATATTTGTTATTCTCTATAATATTGATAACCTATTAAGAACAGTTGCTACTTTTAGTGTTTAGTCATTGCTTATAATTACGCCCACATAACTTAAGCGTGTTAGTTACCCTAAGTGAGATATCTCTATCACCTCGAAGTGTCATAACAAGTTTCCTTGACAATCTTTAAAACTTTTATCAAGCTGCTGTCATTTATTACCATCAAACGATGGTTCTTGTTGCTGCTTGTTTGAAATGTGGCAGTGCGGGTTTTTATTTCAGTGCATAAAGGATATTCGCATGAAATCTCTTTGACCTGGTTCCAGGTTGTTGTTGAAACAAGCCGCTGCAAAGCTGTTGCATTTTGCAAAGTCAATTTAAAGTCACTTCATTTTAATCTTACACTTTGTAACACTCTGTAGAAATTACAGTTTACAATATACATTCCCTGTATAAATATGAATAAATGATGGCATGCTGTCCCTGTGAAAGTGATGTTAGTCTTGACCTATAGCACCCTCCAAAGTATGGCTTAAGGTTGTAATGAGATTACAGTCTGCAGATATCTATAAGCACTGCCTGCCCAGGTTCAACTGAATTAGTACTGCAACAGGAAGAAAGGGCCTCTCTGTGTTACTTGCTTTAGATCCCATGCTCTTCTGTTTACCCAGTACTAGGCTAACCCTAGTGCAACCCCTTTCACCGTTTTCCTCTCGCAACAACATTACCCTTCCCAGAAGAAAAAAAAGGAAAGTGCATAAGCACAGCCCCGTGCTCAAGGTATTTATGAAGGTATCTGTAGCGTGGGCATGAGGCAGATTGCCTGACAATAGAGAGATATAATAAAAGATTAAGGCCTTTCTTTCAAAATCAGGGTGTGATTTGTATAAATGGCCTGAGGATTGGATTCGGAATGATATGTTGGCTGCTTGGACAGGATACAGTGAGCATATTTGAATACTGTTATCAGATCAGTTACAATCTCTTTGGTCTTGTCTAGTTTTTTGTATTGCAGTATAAGTGTACGGCCCTTCAAAACCAGCTTTAGATTACTGCTGGGATAACTTTTCGAACCAGAAGCGTGCCCTTATCATCCCAAATCTTGTGTTGAAACTGCTGTGTCCCTTTGTTTTGATCTCAGGTAAGTTTGTGAAGGTCCAGAGGAAGCAGGGTCTGGTATCAGGCTCAGATGGCAGCAACAAGCACTCCCCCAGCAACAAGAGGAGCCTGGTTCCCAGCCCTGTGGCACACCGGCCCTTGAGGGATCGCATTATTCATCTCCTGGCCTTAAAGCCCTACAGGAAACCTGAGCTGCTACTGTGGTTGGAGAGGGAGCGGGCCAGTCTAAAGGACAAGGCTGACCTGACCTCAATACTGGAGGAGGTGAGACATCTGTCACCTAGCCAAATAAACACAGTTGACGAATTATTTAACATACTCAGATGTAAAGTAAAAGATAATGTCAAAATGCTGTGTGATAATTACACATTAAGCTTTATTTAGTGTCGGTTAAAATCAGGTTAAGGATTAAAACTATAATCATAAATTAGTCCCTATCTTGCTACTTTGCTTATGATACAAATGAAAGACCACAGCTCTGAAAAGGTGATGACAGTTAGTTTATTTCAGGCATATTTCCTGTGTTCACAATGTTTGAGTGTCCCACTGCAATCATCAAGTGGAGACTGTACTGCTGCTGGTAGCTGTAATTAGGCTGTGCTTTAATTATCTTTAGAGGAGAAGATTGTGTTTTGACAGGAGAAGGGGTGGGGTGTCTCCAGCTGGGATCCGACTACTTTCAGAATTGAAAGTGGTTGGTTTGTCTAGATTTGTATCAACAGGATTAGGTTGAATAAGGGCAGGGTTAAACTGTTTTCTGCGGAAACTGAGTAGCACTGAGTAGCAAACAGGTCTTTATTTAAATATAAGGTGGAGTCACAGCATTGAAGGTTAACACAGTTTGGTGTTTTTGTTACCTCAGCTTGCTTCTTTTTCTGTTGTACTCTGCTCTTTTCCTGTTGATTTATTTACATTGGGGTGTGTTTTTTTTCAGGTTGGCAAACTGAACCCTAAGGACCACAGCTATACTCTGAAGGATGAGCTCTACAGACATGTTCAGAGAGACTGGCCTGGATATGTAGAAGAGGAGAAGCAACTCATCCACAGGCTCTTGATCAAGTGGTAAGTTAGCCATAATACACACAAATCTGTTGTTTTGTTTCCTTGAGCGAATTTGAAATGTGTAAGAAAATGTTCTGTTTTGGCTACTTGAAACAAACAAAACAATGCTTCAAGATTTGGAAAATACACCCCAGATGAGAAGATGTATATGTCAACGCTAATTATAAAGCTAATGACAACAGTCAATTAGCTTAGTTTAGAATTAAGATGCGAAACACCTGGCCTTGCTCTGCATGTAAGTAACACAATTAACATTTCAACACCTCTAAAACTCACTTATAAACAGATTATATATTGTTTCTTTAATATACACGAAAACCGAATGTTGGAGGTGCTGGTTGTAGATTGTGTTACCTTTTGGGCCAGGTTAGCACTTTCAATTTGTTTAGCTAAGCTAATAGCCTGCTGACAGTAGCCTTTCATTTACTCTATACACGAGAGTGGTATGCATATTTTCATAAAAATCCTTGCAAGAAAGAAGATGATGAAAACATTTCACAAAATAAACAGTCAAACTATTGCTATAAAGTTATTTTAGATGTTTAAAGACCCGTTTGGATAAAAGACTTTGGGATGGACGCGTTTTGACAGTGCTGGCGTGACTACAGAAAGGACACTGAATTAATGTAGAAGTCTGCTGTGATCATGTTGAAAGGGGAGCTTCTAAATGACTACTTCTGTGCACTGATGAACCTCTAAGTGGACACATCAAAGCTGAGGAGAATATTCCCTGCACCCTGTTGCCAAATGGCATTAGCTGGGAAGGTTCAGAGCAGCAAGACTGAGCTTCTCAGGGTGAGCTTCTCCCCTTGTATGTTCCCTCCGCCTGCCAGTAAACACGCAGGCCATGTGCTTCATGAGTGTTTTGGAAAAAACTCAAGTCCTTTTGGCTGATTTCACAACCCCCTCTGTTCACCACCCCTGCTAAGTGTAAAAAGCTTACAATTGTAGTCATTAAATTGTTTGCCAAGTGTAATAGAACAGTGATAGCCTGTAAATAATGCAGATTTTCTTCACTCTAGTTTATTCATTTATTTGAGTATTCATGCCTTCTTTCTTTTGTAATATCATTCTTCAGCTCATGTTTAATTTCTCCAAACTCACACAATAAAAAGGTTGCATGAACCCATATGGGGGAGTGACTTGTTTGAGGAAGGAGCTGTAGGAAGCAGATTAACAGAGAAGAGGGTTTGGTCCTCCAGAGGTTAAATCTGCTGCTATTGTTCTGCTCACTGGACTGTGTTTAGTCTTTGTGCTTGCCCCCTGTAGATTGCATCACTAGAGACACAAAACAAAACATACCACATTAAATTGCAAAAAAAAAGCTTTGATAACATTCTAAAGATTGACAGTTTTGTAAAGTCAATAATTGTGTCTTCTGTGGAAAAGCTGCCACCACTGTCTGGAAAGCGTGTCATAACAAAAACGATAATTGCTCATCCACTCACTCATAAATCTACCAAAGCCAGCTTTATGACCTACATACTGCCTCTTCCTGTTTAGCTTTACAGGCCATTTACCTCGCAGTTACTGTCTGACTGAAGGTGCTGTGTTCTGAATCTCTCTTCAGGAAACTACAGCCACTCCACAGTATCCAGTTGAAGAGTCCCCAGTCCAACCAGTCATTCCACAAAACTCCCGGGGACTCTCCTTCACATCTCAGCCCTGCCAAGAATCTCTCTGTGGTAATTATTCACCTTGAATTCATTATCTTGTGACGCTTCTGCTTTCTTATAAGACTGAAAATAGATAGCTAGATTCCTCTTTTGCAGATACACATTACTGGAAATATGACGACACTCTTATATATTTGTGTTAATTTGTTATTTGCTTCAGTGTGAATATAGCTCTGACTGGAATAGAAGGAATAGTTACACAAATTGTGCTTTTCCTATTGTGCAGTAAATATATAGCTAGTGCTTCTTAGCTTAATATGTGATGTGCTGCAGTATTTCTTGGGGATCAGATGTTTTAAACCAACAGAAATGCTGTGATGTTATTGGTCTTGGCCAATACATAGTCAAGCACCTCATAGAATTGTCAAGTCACTTCTGTTTTGCATCGATTATACAAATTAAATTCAATGTTTTAGTTTGTGAGCCGTATTTTCTGTGGAGAGAGCAAGGCGAGCTTTTGGCTGTAGCTTCATATTTAGTTTGGATATGCGAGAGGTGCCAATCTTCATCTTACTCTCTGCAAAATAAATGAAAAAACACACATTACAAAAGGTCAAACTACTCCTTTAAAGTTAATATCTAATCATGATACAGGCATGTTCGGATCACCTCATGTAATTTCCACTTTCATATCAATAAGAAAAAGCAAATGAATCAATATAATCTCTTTCTTCTCCTCTAGAAACGGCCGTTGCCCTCAGACCCATCCAACTTTCAGACTCCCAAAAAACAAAGACTGTTAGACCAGTGTCTGCCACTGCAGTCACCGTCTCACGGAGACTGCGTCACCAATGGGGCTCGCAGCTCCTCTAGTCATGGAAACTCTAGAGTACAGATCAAACTGGACTTCGACAAAACCAACAATCATCTCCAGGGGAGCCCAAATGGACTGCACTCACCGCACAAACTCAGCGGGTCATCTACTATTCCCAAACTGGAGAGGACAGAGCCAGCTCCCACTGTACCCAGCCCTAACCCGCCACACATTGACACGTCCATTTGCACTGACCAACCATTCACCAACGGCCAGCATAAAAAAAAGAAGTCCAAAAAGCACAAAGACAAAGAACGAGAGCGCTTAAAACCAGACTGGATTGAGACAAGTCCAGACCTGAAACATAACAGAGAAAATCTCAAAGGTAAACAACCATAAAACCAAACACTTCACTTTTATGTAACTTGTTCTCACACTTCATGTATCTTTTTGTGCTGTCATAAATCCGTTTTCTTTACTATTTGTTGGGGCCATGAAATAAACAGCTTTCATTTAGCAAAAAGGCAAAAAAAATCAGGTTTGAGTTATAGTTGGTGCTGCAGGCCCACAAGGAGCAATTCATATATTTTCATTTGAGAGAGCAGTGAGTGTTGTTAGTGCTCTAGCACTTTCTCTGCCCTGCTGTCCTCAGTCAGGCTCTAGTCTGTTGATGATTGACTGTGAAACAGCTGGGTGACCTACGGTCGAGCGAGTCAGCAGGCAGCATGCCTTCTACTCGGAGGCTGCTGACGTCACGGCTTGCCTTGGATCAGATCTCTTATCAGAGGGAGTGATACATTATTCCATCAGCCTTGATATGATAGGCACATTATCGCATTTGCATTGGCAGATTGCTTTAACCTTTTTTTCAATGTCTGTGTGTGTGTGTTTGTTTTTCCTATCCACAGATCATGAGGGGGAGAAAACACCTGTCAATCGAACCTCCGCAGAGGAACTGCCTGACTATTTAATGTAAGATTCAAACACACACACCCTGACTGTGTTACATTTTCAAATCCCAGTTTCAGAAAGGATTAATGATTCAGGAATTCAATCCAAATATTTGCGTGATATCTCATATACGTTGTAAAATAATCTGTCATCACTCTAAACCACTGAGAATAGATACCCTAAAGAGTGAGGATAAGCTTTAAAACATTTTTAAAAAATACAGTGAATTGAACCACATGTCTAAATGAGCTGTCACAAAGCTTTAGTGAAGCAAACACACATGTTATGTCTTACATTTTTACATCTGGTCAACACATCATGCTGTTAAATCAGTGACGTGTCAGGCCTCTCTTCACCGTTCTGCAGTGCCATCTACTGGAAGGAATTGGAAACAACTTAGTTTCAAAAGATCACTTCTGCTTTGAAAATAACATCTGGTTTATTTTTTCTCAGAAAATACAGTACCATAAAAGCACTGGAGCAGAGGCAGGAGTATAAGGACGACTTCTGTGCCGAGTACGATGAATACAGAGCTCTTCATGCCCGGATCGGGGCTATCACAGAGATGTTTGTTCAGTTGGGCTCAAAGATCAACACTCTCTCCCCGGGAACACAAGAATACAAGGTACAGTCAGGACCAGGGGCCTTTTAAAAGCCCCGTTTCTGATCAAACACCAAAACAATAAACTGTTCAGATACATGGCATCCTAACACTCTTTCTTTTGTCATCCTTTCAGCTCATGGAGGACCAAATACTACAAAAGTACCGAAAGTATAAGAAAGTAAGAATAACTTACATTTTAATTTAATTTCATGTGACAGTTGTGACACACATGAACATAATTTTTTCTTATTTTCCATTTAAAATAGATTTTTGAATTTTCCTATTTAAAAAAGATGTGATGTTAACATTGTATTCACTTTATCATTGAGGATGTGCATCATAGTTTGCCAAACCACTAAGAAGTTAGAACTTTTATTTTTAGATTAAATTGCCATAAATTCTACCCAACATTAATTGATCAAATACTGCTACTGAGGGTTAGCTAAATCAAGTTGCAAAAACTCCAGCAAACCTCCCTGAAAAAACTAAGGACATGATAGACTTGTATAAGAATACACGGATGTTCTAACATAAGGGCGATCACGTTGAATGTCCTTTACTGATGGCTCACTTTTTTCTTTATAGAAGTTTCCTGGGTACCGGGAAGAGAAGAAGCGATGCGAGTACCTCCATCAGAAACTGTCGCATATCAAAGGCCTGATCACAGATTACGACCGAGCGCAGGGACTCTCCTAGTCAGCGGCTTCTACCCTCAGCAGGGTTTAATATGACTGGACCAAAAGACTCCTAATGGAGCCAAAGACTGCCAGCTGGGACCCGGAGTCACTGAGACACTTTTCACTTTACTCCTTCAAGTATTTATGGAATCGAGGAGCAGGGGTTTTTCTAGAAAGTGGGCCGAGACCACCGACCCGTGATCAAATGTTGCCCTTTAACATTTTGGTTTTTAATTATGATTTTTGGCTGGATTCTGTTCTGCTGTATAATGGTCCAATGACGAAGTGTAAGCCAAATCCATTTTATCGGAAGTGCAAAGCAGATTTGATCCTTCCTGCTTAATGTATTTTTATTTGTATTCCTTTATCTGCTCAGAACTTTAAAAAATGTGTTGATTTATTTAAAAAAAAAAGTATTACATTGATGGTACAATCAAACTTATGGGGAAACAAATGCTACTAAAGTCTTTATATTTATCATACAACAGGAATCCTTTTATTTGCTGTTTGCCAATAGAAAGTCAACACATTTAAGCACATCAGTTATTCATTAGTTACAGTAATAAGATCAGATAATAATAATAATAATAAGGTCACAACCATTTTCAATGTCTCTCCCTTGGAAGCCAATGCAAACACAATCTTATCATTCATACAAAAATGTATTTCTGCAGGACTAAACTTGCAGAGGGTTTTCTCAATGCATCACTAAAATGAAAAGAAAATGAAATGTAAAGCATAATATGCAAAGTTCTTCAGGCTTTGATCTTGAGTAATTTAACCATGTAGCTGCCAGCGTCCTGTGTCATTTCTAAGAAATGTTGGAATGCCACAAAACTACTCCTCCCAATACCTGAACGCTGGTTTCAAGATAGTGTTTGTGCACATATGAGTGTCAACTTCACCCACATGTAGCCTACCACCAACTGCCTTTTCATTATCAACTCTCTCAAATATTCTGGTTGTTGGTTTACTGATAAACACAGTACACCCAGTAATCATGCTTTATCTAAGCTGTAGATGAATGACTAAAAGCTCTATGAATCATAACTTTTCACTCTAAATGCAGTTTTAAAAGCGTACAGGGTATTTGATCTTGGTAATCGATCATGTTTGATTTACTATGATCTTGCTTTGGTTGAAGTATGGAGATTGCAAAAGAGATGCCTTTAAAAGTTGGATAATGTAATTGTTAGTACACAGATGGCACTGTCACTCGGTTCATACCACTTTGGTTCAGTTTGGATGTAAGGAGCAGGCAGACCTCTAGAGGGTGCTAGCGGTGCTTTTAGACTCATTTTAGACTTTTTGGAATCATTCGTCCCAAGGCAGGATCATAAGAATACCCACAAACTGTATTTTTATTTCACTTTATGATTCGCTTTTAGCCTGATGTAGGAAATTGATTTCAGATGCCAGTGTTTTCTGGACATTTGGATTCATGTAGCCGTTCTCACAACTTTTGTCTTAATGATTGCTTAGCTACATTTGCCTTAACACGTACAGTATGTCAGACATTTCCAAAATGAGGACACCCCTGTTGGTTTACCCTGCACAGTTCAAAGCATTCTGAGACTTTTTCTTGTAAATGTATTTTAGTTTGAATGAACTTCAGTTACTGGATAGTTGTTACTGGATAGGTATTGTGTTATCTGTGTTCTTCTTGTTTTATTACCGTGTACGTCTAAATCATTTTCAGTTTCTATCAGATAATCATGAACTGTTAAGGAATTGAATTCACTCTCCAATCGTATCAAGTTCCACTTTCAAAAGAAATAATCATTGCAGAAATGTATACAAAATAATGTGCTTTCCTTTTCTTGATTTCTCAATGAAAATACTTCATAGATTTATTGTCACATGTTAAGCAGTTATTTTGCATAAGGTAAATGTACGTTGTTATTTATTTTACATTTGGTAGATTACTTCTGGTATGTTTGAAGGATTTGAGACTGGCAACAGTTGCTCTGTCTTGGCACATATGAACTTTTCCAAGAGAGGAATATTTATTAGCACTGACTATTGGAAAAATAAGAATTGTAAGCCCAGATTCTGAGCATTAAATATCAAAGCAAAATATGCTGGATCTTAAAGTCCTGGTACACTGAAGTTTTATTTATTTTGGCTGTTTGGATCTATTCGAAAGACAAGACCACACAACGTTTAGTTACATGTGCCACAAAGCTCGAATCAACAAGAGAAATTACCTGGTCAGTCAAACGTTTTTTTTTCTGGTATTGGATCTGCAAATCCATGAGACATTGTTTAATTGTACTAAAAGACAGGAGCACGATGCCAGTTCAGATATACAAAATGATGTTTAGGTTGTTTGACAGAATTTGTTGTTCAAAACAGAAAGGTACTGAATCAGTGTTTTAAAAAATGATGGTGAGATGGAACCATACAGAACACCATTCAGATTACCTTGAAAGTGATCATTCACAAAACAGATTCAAGTCAAGGGCTTCCCATCTACCACAAGAGTGGTATTGGTCAATTGCATAATACATATGAAATCAAACTATCTCAAAAGGAAAAATATCAGTCTAAACAGTATGAATTCAGTTATCCGTACCATTCATGTCAACATGTTGATTTTGGGAACCAGACCCTCGATGAATCTCAAGTGCTAACTGTGATGTGTTTTCTTTTTTGTAATACTGTAGCGGGAGCTAACTACTGATGGTGCCTTTCCATTCAAAGAGCAGAGCCACTCTGCATGTAACTTGTATTGGTATTCTGTAAAAAAAAAAAAAGGACCAGCAGTATTTAAACATCTGTAGTTTCACACTGGTGCCGCTGTTCAAAGTGCTTTGTTCCTTATCTTTAGATTAAGTTGGTATCAGATGCCTTGTAAAATCTTCTTAGTTTTTGGGCGCGGACATTTTTTCCAGATATGTAAATTCGGCATTTGCAAAAATGCAAGGTTTTCCTGACACCAATTAAACTGCATTTTAGGTTAGCTGTTCAAAAGAATGTCCTGGATTTTGTTTGCATTTCTTTTTGCAGCCCCGCAAAGTATTTTAACAAATGTAATACTGGTGCATTGATTGGTTTGTTGGTCCTGGAAAACCAAGTCTTGTTGAAAATGTGAAATAGGACATTTCGCCTATTATGAATCACTGCAATTGGTCTACCTGGAAGAACACATTGTTTTTATTTATTGTTTTATATGCGTTTGTCCTTTTATGGAATCCAACTTTGCAGTTAGTTCATTGTTTTTCAGAGCAACACTCAAAGTATGGTGAAAGGGAAATGGAATATATTTTTGCAATTGTTGATGGTGGATACTTTATCCCAGTCATCCACTCGAGTAAAAAGCTTTCAGAAGAAGTGTATGTTTGTCTCCGTTCAAGCAACAAATAAAGCTCTTTTGAATTTAACAAAGTGTCATGTTTCCCCAAGAGGGCAGTGTTACTCAATGTGTGAGAAACTGAACTGAAATGTCCCTTAAAGCACCACTAATTAACATTTCTACAAAATATGAAGATTTTCAAAAAGCACAATTTAAGAAATGCTGTTTTTATAGTATTTATTAACCTTTGAAATCAAGTGTGACAGTAAAAACATTAGGTCCCCTGGAATGAAACAAACTTCATGTCATTGTAAATCTCACTCGCAGCTTTTAGAACTGAAGTCTAATATTAGCTATTTTCTAGAGGGAGTTGGAGGTCTCTACTTTATCCTCCGCACTTGTTTTAATCAAAGATTTTAATAACATATATACACAAGCGTACTAAACAATATATTAAGAATATTATTGTTATCACATTATCGAGTGTCTCTACTCATTCAAATATAACACCAATTGTATTGATATCAATAATTTACATTTTAAATTGACATACAGGTCATGAGTGACATTCATTCTGCTGTCTGAGTCCTAACAGGTGAGATAAAATACTTTTTCACAGAAGACAAATTAGAACATAGCCATTGTTTGTGTTATTGGTAATTCTGTGCTTTTCCTACAATGACAAGACAAGATGTCTACTGTGAGAGAATCCTATCCCCTGAAATCTCTCAGCTGCTTTTTCCCCTCTGGAAGCACGTTTGGCCGAGAAGCAGTTTATCACTATCACATTGAGGTAAACATTTTAGCAGCATCTTATCACAAATGGAGAAAAGATAAAGACAGTGGACATAGAGTGGTAAACAGTTTACTTTTTCTAAGAGATATGTGCATCAGTAAAGAGCCCTTTTTTGAAAGTACAGTAGTAAGAAAACTGGTGTTACACGCAGTGCTGGAGAAGAAAGGAATGCACACAAGTTAAGCCTTGGCTCTTTTAATTCTATGTTAACTTGATTTGTATTCCTTTCATACCAGAGTTTTAAACTTCACCAGTTCCCCATTCAATGTTTAGTCATTTTGTTAATCAAGAATCCATGACAAAAAAATCAAATCCAGTCATGCCATCAGTTGTTGCTGCTGGCCTGATTTAAATGTTACAAATTGTGCCCTAATCTCAATGTGCACCAGGTCTACGTTAGTCCACCATTACAGCTTCAGGTAGACACACTACATCCTGTCAGGATAAATCCTTTTATCTGCAGTTAGTCAGCAGGATTAACTCTACCCTTCTTATCAGGGTCTGAGTCTTAACTTGGGCTGTGCAAGGGTTACAATCCCAATCACTGAAGATAACAAACCACAAAATCCTACCACTCCTGCGTTTAATTGGTATATACCCAACCTATCAAGGGGAATGAAGAGATCACATACATTTTTAAGCATGTCCAAGGCAACAGCAGGATGTGATCTCAGGCTCTCTAACAGCAGAAAGAGAAACGCATCCAGCTGAGGGATGACTGCTTCGGCCACTTCAGGACTCTCATTGAGATGCAGCTCCATTTTCTGTCTAAAGTGTCTGTCTCTTGCTTTCTGTGCCATTAACTGGATGACTTCATAAACATCTCTGGTCAGACTTGTTACTAGCGAGAGGAAATAGCATCGAGAGGCATTCAGACTCCAGCGTTCCTTGTCGATATCGCGGATAAGACCGACATTTCTGGCCCAAAGTACATTGTCACAGATAAAGTAGAGGGCGCGGTTGGCGTTGGCCGCAGTAAGGCAGAGGCTCAGCACTCGGTCAGAGAGTTGCATGGTTCGCTTAGCAGCCTCAATGGAATTTATTGTGTTCCCCAGCCTGAACACTGACAAAGGAGGAAGAAAAAAAAGCATATTAGAGCAGTAATCAATTTAATATGAAATGTCAGGTCAACATTTCATAATACAACTCGACTATTGAGGGTAGGATTGAGTAAAGCTACGTTAAGCTGTATTTAAACCAAACTACTGTCTTTCATCAAACTTGTCCCCCTGAGGGAAAAGGTTATAGACACTTACTCACAGTGTTTACCTACTGCGTGACACCTAGTCCAGCTCAGGCTTGGCCTTGCGATTGATGCTTTTTGAGCCATTCAGAAAGCAAAATGTTTGGCAACATTAGCCTCTGACATGTTCAGTTTTTAAATAATGACACCTACATGTCTCCTTCACTCATTATTACTGAGGCAGGAGCTCTGTGGCTGCAGCTCTGATGAACAAAGGAGATATATAGGTCAAACAGGAACAGAGACCCTGAGAGGGACATAGTGTTTCTTGCCTGACTCTGATGAAAGGCATGATTGACTAAGAACAATATGAAGCCAAGTGTTGTTGAAGAGATATAGGAATTATGGAAAGACGTGTGTATGATCCAATTAAAGCTACTGCTAGAACCTCTGAATATTGATAGAAATGCTGTACATTTTACTGACACAAAAGTCTGTTTTCCTGTAATAACAAAATGAAATTCAATAAATCCAAAACACAGTGTAAAAGTTTAAAACCTTCAATAATAATCGATGAGCTGTCAGAGCCAGTCTTAGGGTTGCCAGTGTTACAGACACAGGAGGTGCAGGTCCATGTGTCAGCACAAAGTCTGGTCCCCCACACAATATCTATCCCACAGGGGGCTCGCTACAGACTGACACAGCAATAAACAGCCAATACCAAACAGAATGTAACATTTCCGAAAGTATTAAACTAATACAATTGCCATTGCAATTTGTACTGCCTTTTTGCAAAGCACGGACAAATGTGACCCTGAAACACTTCTTCAGATATCTCTAAAAATGTGTTGTATACCGTTTGTTTATGTGCTGGAAGAAGATAATTAAGGCATAGTTGTAGCTGTAAAACATTCTACAAATAAGTAGACACACAAGTATGTCAAATGTCCTTCAATGTTCAGATTGAACAACTTTACAATGTGTCTTGGCAACATTGTCAATATGTTGGCAGTTGCCGTTTCAAAGTGTAATACTATTCTACAGTTTTGATAGTGGCATAATGTATGGAGGTTTTCCTGCAGTGTTTTAAAGCAGACGTCGGCATCCCTCCCCTGAAATACCAAATACCTTCACTATAACACTATCAAAATGTTATTAAGTAACTAATAAAATATATATGTTCAGGGTAAAAGTGTACTGCTTCACATGAACCTGGGTGACTTATGGCCTCTGCTAAACAGGGAGATTACCGTGTTGTGTATTCACCATGCCATTCGGGGAACATCTACAATGTCCTTTTTACTCTCACCTCTTACACCACTGATTCCAAACACAAGTGTGCCAAGGGTGAAGGTCTTAAAATTGCCCCTTAGGTTAATAATTACGAGGCAGATGTTTTTTTTCTATAACAATATAAATCGTGCATGTTACTAATTTTAGTTTTTCTATCATCCTACTAACATTTAGTTTGCAGCTGAAAATACACGATCAATCATCATACAATCATTATTCATTGTCATCGTTTAGAATGTCACATTTTGCTGACATTTCAAGTTATTTTACAATCTTCCACGAACTTTCATTGAACACAAAGTTCAAACTGTACAACCTGTTCCTGGTTTTAATGACCATGGGAGGGAACCCAGTGCTAAGAGATTGTAAACAAAAGACAGCAGATAGAGGTTCGTGTATTTTAACATCAGACATTCAATGGTTCTTAGAAAACATTGTCTGAAATAAGCTCTGTAGTATGTCCTGGAACACAGGGTGCTGTCTCAAGTGTTTTCGTAAAAAACATGAGCTTATATTATTTATTATTGACAATAGACTGGGCTTTATGAAAGCTTGAGATAGTCCAACGACTATAGTTTATATTGGCTGCAACTCGGTCCCTGTCGTGTGGGCAGTCCACAGTTTATCACAACCTTGATACCCAAATATTTGGGTTGATAAACAAAATCAGCAGGACAAAGACATAGGGACTAAAATTGGATGGGAAGAAAAAGCTTTGATGATGGATGGCCTTATTTTCCTGCATTTGTGCATATAAGTCTACAAAACTGGATATGTAGGAAGAAATAAACTGACTTCATTGAGACAGAGTTTGGTGTATTGAAAAATGTGAGTTATAATTGCAGGTTGTGACAGAGTAAGGATTTTGTTATCGACAAATTAAAATGAATAAACAACATTATTCATTGACCATTAGTTTCTCAAACGTTTAGCAAGCAAAAATCTATCATCAAAAGTGAAAACGCGCAGTTCTACCTTGTTTTGTATTGAACGCTACAACATGTCTGATGTTGATGAAACTAAACAAACTATGAGAAGGTTTTACACTGGGCTCAAGGGTCACAATCCAGTTATGTGAATGTAAACCTCCTGCCGGTTTAGTTTGGGGGGGGGGGGACAATTGGGGTTTTCGGTAATGAACAAACTGTCACTACTGTAAGCTCCTAAGAGACCACTCCTCAGTTACAGTAACTTATACTCACGTTTTCTTCCAGCGCTCATGTTGGTTTCCAGACTTTTGAGTTTCGCCACAAGGTCCTTTCTTTCGGAGTTGTTCCGAAGTAAATAAACCGACAGTGCACATGCATATTGAGTTGCTCTGAAATAAATAAAGTAGACAGTGAGAAAAGAGAAAGTTGACGGTCAGTCTAGACTGCACTTGTCATGTTTACAACCTCAACTAACTTTTCTATTGATCTATACAACATGGAATACTAAAGACTAGGCCACACACATGTTACACGACTTACCTGAATATACGGTCCCTTCCTTGACTTTGGCTGGTAAACTGCACAACCGCGTCCATTGATAAATCTTAGTAGAACAGCTTGTTCTAGCTGAGTCGCACCCTCGTTCAAAGACGTAAAGCGTCAATTTCTTGCTACCGTATAATGGGAATTCTTCGTGCTCACTATGGAGAGGCGAAGTCACGCCCATCTACTTCCGGACCATGGGACCCCGGAAGCGAAAAATGTACATTGAATTCAATGGAGAGAGAACACGTATCTTTTGATCCCGTTTGAATTGTGCCACGAACTACACATATGATGTTTGTCAATCTTAAACAATCATTTCCATGTCAAAAAAGTCACATTTTGTCGTAAAACTGCTGAAATATAAGACTATGAAAAATACGCTACTACAAAGACTACAAATCCCAAATCCCATTCTGGGTCGCGTAAGTGATGTCACAGGCATGCTCGGTGATTTATAATAAGACTCGTAATTAAAGCGAAAGAAGAAGAAGATCTCATAACTGATTTATTCCCTCCAATAAATTATAGATCGCTAAAAATAAATTCACTTTTACAAGATGCCTGTGTGCTTTGTACCAGGTTGTAGTCATAAAAGTGATCATACCACTTGCTCCTTCTATCGATTCCCGTCTGATGAAAGGACCAGGAGTCGCTGGATCAGACATATCAGGTAATATACATGTTGTGCATGGAACATAGTCAAGTTAGCTACCTAGCTAGTAGCGACGAGTAGCGAGCACGTTAGTTAGCATTACATTACTTAGCCTTGTCATTTTTAGTAGCCTTACCATGAAGTTATTATTTTATTACATGAAGTAAACCAAAATGTTAAACAGTAACCAAACATGATGGTAAGTATTTCGTGAAACATTTGAAGAGTAGCCTTCTGCGCCCTCCACCGGGTGCTAAGGAAGCAGTTCAGGGAGAGTCGAAGGCAGGCATGGAGCTTTGCATGTCATTCTTCTGGACGTGTTTCATTGTGATGACAATCTGTTTGTTGGAAAGACAGTCGTTGTGTGCTTATTGAGAGAAAATTGTTAGAAGAGATAATTATTCAAAGTGTTGTTACTTTAAAGTGTTGTTACTGACCTTTTTCTCTTTTATTTTCTTTACCTCACCTGTAACTGCTGAGACGTTGAGGAACATGCACACTGACCTGCTCTGGCAACCTGATTTCCACTGTACGTAATAGTATTTGGTTATGATATATTATTTATATACATCAAAGGCACAATGCACCCCCCAGAGACACACATGTATTGAGTGTGATATTTTGCATAGGTCATGTGAAATCATCTTTACATACTAGAAAACTGTAGGAGCGGCAACTTGTTTTGAAATTGAATTTTTAATATCCGATAATAAAGTTGATCTGTTTTCTTTATTCTTCTCTCTTCCCAGCTCCATCACCATTCTCTGTTCCTGCAGGTCCTGCTTGCTAATCAATGCTCATATTTTTTTACACAATTACAAATAAAGTCATTGTATTGTATGACATGAAGTTGTGCTTCATTCGGAGTCAATAATAAATTCATTCTGCCTTCAACTGCGCAATGATTGTGGACTGCACCGACATCCATGTAGCTGCCCCCCAGTAAGATGAACCAAGCAAAGAGGGTCCCCATCATGCCCAAGGACATCCAGCTGGCCCGCCGCATCCGCGGAGAGAGGGCTTAGACTGACCTGAGACCAGCACACCCAAACACAACAGCTCTTTTAAGAGCCACATACATTTTCAAAGAGTTGCAATCCTACGTTATTATAATGATTAAACTGGTTCATGTATCACTTAGTTTACTGAACCGTGATGAATGAAAGAAATTAGTGAGGTAGTGGTTTACTGAAGTTACAAAGACATTAATATATGAGTAACAGGTCAGTGTAAACACAAGCTTCTGTCAATTATGGATCATTCAACTATTTATATAAAAATATGTAATAAAGTTCTAAAACAAGTATTCGGTATATTCCTTGATAGCTTTTGGAGAAGGTTGTTTTAAGTTTACTAAAATCTATCGTTTCAACTGTTTCACTTTATAAAAAGGGAACAGGTGAGTAGAGCATCATTGAGTTTCTTATTCTGTCAGTAAATTATCCAAATGAATGTTTTTCATTATTTTAGTCAACCCTAAACAAATTGATTGTACCTTTTAATGATGACCTTACATGGTCGGCAAAGTTAAATTAACTTCAGAAAATCAAATCTGTTCTGAGAAAAAACTAATAAATGTTTAAAGATAGGAACTTGCCATCCCACTGAAAAACAGTCCGTAGAGATTTAAAGGCGTAGTTGTAGTTCAGTCCAACGTTTCATTTGACAACAGTCAACTATTTTCATAAAGAATATATATATTTTTCAAAGTCAACTTTATTGTCAATCTTACTCAGTTTGAGAGATCAAAAAAGACGTTTAAATAAAATTATACAATTTACAGATATGTATACAAATATATATATCCTATATACACCATCATGTATAATGATGGTGTATGATGTAGAAGGAAGTGTGGTAGATAACAAGTAAATATAGAGTTACATACAGATCCATGTTACAGCAAAAGATGGAATAACTAAGAAGCACGCAGTATAATAATAATTACATGCAACAATTAAATAACTGCTCAGCATCTCCACCACAATCCCAATCTGCTGTGTCCTGTTTTCCTCCCCTCTGCATAACACCCCATCACACATACGAAACACAACGCAGAGTCCGAGGGTGTTAAGAGTATGTTTATTGAAATGTCCTCCTCTCTACTGGCCAACACAGGGAGCATATGCTGGGTGTAGAATTGTTCCAGGAGGAGGAGATTTCCATGCCATGCAGGGTCTTTGGGGATGGGGATGATGATCGCCTCCTTTGTGGTCCACACAACAAAGTAGCAGAGACTCCGGTCTGTGATGTGCAGCTGCCCTTGGACCTGGTGCCAGTATGGGTGATTCTCCTTGAGAATATATGACCCACCCTCCTCACGGAGACAGAAGGATGGTAACTGGACTGCCTCCGTGATGGTCATGTTCCTCTGGCTGTGTGGACACTTCACCTCCAGCAGGGCAGATGGCTGCACAAGTCCATCGGGTGATGCTCCCAGAACACCCGACTCACTCACAAAGAGACCAGACTCGATTCGAACACTGTCACTTGATAGGCCTCCACAAAAGCTTCACCCCTTCGGCCTCGTTTACAACCCCCCAGTTGACAGTTGGCGATGTCTCTGGCCAGTGGGTTGTATGTCTCCTCTCGCTGTTGGTAAAGTTGAGACACCGGCTGGACTACTTTTTAAGTGCCAGGCTTCCTCCACTGGCACTCAACATCTGTGGAGCTGATCTGCCACATGGCAAATATTGCCAATGCTGCAGCGTGGCTGCATTTGTACATCTCCTGTGCACAATCACAGACAGCGCTCTGCATCGCGCCATCGTCTCCCATGCAGATCTGTAAAAATAAAGTAAGTACCATTTGTTAGCATGCTATAATAGATTGAATGAGCAATAATACAAGGATGGTCCGGATCTGGGGGTGGGAGGGTTTATTTTTCCATAGTTTTGTCCTCTTGTCTGTTGTTATTGTTTGTTTTTCTGTATTTTTTGTAATTTGTGTTGTATTGGTTGTGATTGTACATTGTATTTTTCTAAATGTGTATGAATACGTTTTTGAAAAACATTTGATCAACAATAAAAAAGGATTTGGTCAGGATCTAGACTCAGTGTGTAGTTTATTAATTAATCAATGCTCTCTACATTAGGAAAACACATACCGGTGTACCAGAGGGAGTCACACACAGCTGTGCCTAGATAACCAAAATCCTTGAATCTACACACAGCAAATAAACTCAAATGACACAACGAGAAAAAGGAGATCACACATACAGTATAGTCGATATAAAACTGGCCGCTTCAATCTGAAGAGCAACTAAAACAAAACACGGGAGTGTACCTTGTTCTTGTGAACACTAATGTTATCCACAGCATACACAGAGACCACGAAGTTCTTAAGGAGAAAACTAGTTGCTAAAAACAAAACACGTTAGTGTACCTTGTTAGCTAATGTTAGCTAGCTGACATTAACGTTACACATTGCACTCATATTACTCACCGAAACCTTGTAAAGCCGGTCCCGCATGCTGGCTCTTACAGAACCGACTAACTCCCCTTTCATATAGGTACAGCTCTCAACGTGCCCAGACTTGTAGTGATTTTCACCTCGTAAAATACTTTTATTCTCATTCTGAAAGAATGTGGTGAAATGTGCTAACGTGACGGCCATCTTTATGTTGGTGACGCGTATTGTGCGAGACGAGAGACCTGTAGTTCACTGAGCGGTTTCACACGAAAAAATGTGTAACTTCACAGTTTTACGACACATTTTTATTTTTTTGACTTGCAAAATGTTCTTTTAAATTGACAAACATCATATGTGTCATTCGTGGCACAATTCAAACGGGATCAAAAGATAACCTTTCTCTCTCCATTGACTTCAATGTATAATTTCCCGCTTCCGGGGTCCCATGGAGGCTTTCGGAAGGGGAGGGACTTCGCCTCTCTATAAACAACGTCGGCAACAGCGGTTCGTCTAACGTTGCCGATTTAAACTCCAGTAGGTAATGTGGATTTATAAACTTCTTCCACGTTGAGAGTAAGCTAGTTTCACGGTAGGTTTGGGCGACACTAGCAGTTGAGAAAAACCTTCTTGTTTCACTACGGACAGCTTAGCAAACGGACCAAAGCCGAACGTGTATGGTAGACGGACCAGAGCGTTATTGGTTACTTGGTTACCAGCAGTGTTAAAGTAGCCTACTTAAGCACATTACCCTTAAGTACTGTGCTTAAGTACTATTTTTAGAGACCTGTTCTACTTGAGTTATTATTCAAATGTATTGCTGATGAATACTTATACTCTACTCCAATTCTTAGGTAAATTGTGTACTTTTACTCCATAACATGTATTTATTATCTTTAGTTACTTTTCAGATTTGGAAATATAAAGAACACTTCAATCAGACTTTAGCTACACCTGGAGTAAATTCACAAGCTACCCTGCAGTATGCAAAGTATTTAAAGTTAGCTGCACCAATATGATATATTATTCTGAAATGGACCGATTTGAATAATGAGTAGCCTACTTTTACTTTTGGTACTTTAAGTATATTTTGGTGCTAATACCTTTGTACTTTTACTTAAGTAACCTTTTCAATGCAGGACTTTTACTTGTAATAAATAGAGTATTCCTACACTTTGGTACTTGTACTTTCACTTAAATACTAGATCTGAGTACTTCTCATACCTCTGGTTACCATGGTTAATCTACGTTTAATGGCATCGCTGTTTGAAATTTTACAAGATGAGGTAAAAAAATGTAATAATAATATCAAGAAAAATAATAAAAACAATTAAATAATACAATTCACAATATGTATTGAGTAAAAACAATGCAAACTAGATGATAAAAACAGTCACTGTAAACACCTTTTGATTTAAAAAGACAAATTAAGACTGTGATACACAATTTTGCAGTTAATATTGTGTGGTTTGGAGCAGTGCTTGAATTGGAATGAAAAAGGTGCCAGTACTCTAAAATCAGCAACTTTTTCAAGTCAATTTTATATATACAGCCCACAAACAAGAATTTGGCTACTATAATGCTGGTGGGTTTGTCTCTTTACTACTGTATATTTTAGAAAGGTTCACTGTACTTAACATTTTTTATGATAGGCAGCGGATATGGCTAAAGCTCAGTAAGGTCAATATTAACTGAAAATATAGCAATCAAAGTCTAGATCTTCTGCTGAAGACACATGAAGCAGAGACCTTTTGAGGTGAGAGCCCCTCTGGTGGTGTTCAACATTAATGACAAGGAAACAAAGCTCTGGTCAGAAGCATTTTTTATAAAAAGCTTTAACAAAATTAAGTATTTCTGTACATTTTGAATGCAATCTAACTTTCCAACTCAGAAAACGAAAAACGAAAAAGTGCCAAAAGTCTTCTCACATGGCTGAGCTGCTTTGCAATATACTTCACCACTGAAGAATACAAATATGTATAAAGTAAACTATGATGCAATCTAACTTTCCAACTCAGAAAAATGATAAAGAGCATGAACAAAGAACATGTAAAAACAAATGCAAAATTTGCACAATCTAAAATGAGAAACTGTAACTGCAAGTAACAAAGTCTGAGCCATGGTAAAGAGTTACATTGAACACCAAGCTGATCAGATAACTCCCTGGTTGGTCTGAAGTCCTTCTATCTCCAGGATCTGTACAAATCGGCACATTATGCCAAAAGTCTTCTCACTGGGTGAGCTGCTTTGCAATATACTTCACATTGTTAGAAAAGGCTCCAGAAGGCCTTGGGGACATCAGTATCAGGGGCTGGAGCTGGACAGGCTCTTTCATCAGCACTTCTCCTTCCCTTTGCCAGCCAGGACCTCACATACTGTTCCGGATTTAACTGTCCTAGTGATGGTCCATTACATTTAATGAAAACCAGGCTGGACAGTCGGCTGACAGAGAGAGCATTCCTTTTTGCAGTAAGGATATCGTTCATGCAGCTGAATGCCCGCTCACACTCACTAGTGGAGACAGCGATGGTTCGGACTGCTTTCAGTAGAGGCTCCATGGCAGCAGGTGTACGGGATACCCTGGTTTCCTTGTATTCGCGAAAGCCCTGAACAGTCTCTCTTCTGTCCACTTTCAGCACTTCGCACAAACGTAGCACCTCTACGTCCCCATACTGTACGTCTAACTCCTCTTCAGGCCAACTTCCAGGATGGATAACTTCATGTCCTGGATTAGCTGATTGTCCCGGGCCTCCCGGCCATGTAATGGGATTTCTCTTGTGCTGACATGAGAGGAGGTTGTGGAAGTCATTCTGTGTCTCAGATTCTCTACCATACTGCGGAAAAACTGACCTGCATGAATCTGTACAAGCCTGCCATTCTCACGCAGGGCAACACCCTTGAAGGACTTCTCAGCTAGAGCTGTATGAACTGTAGTCATGTGTGGGCCAGGCATGGTGACCATGGATTCAAAAACTCGTATTTCTCGAGTTAAGAGCCTATCTGCTGTAGGCAGTGTCATCTCTCTTTTTTGGAGTTGCCGAGAGAGGTCGCTGAGCTCTGTGAGCGCATCGTACATCAGTCCCAGATTGCTGACAAACGTTGCAGATGTGAGCACATCATCCAGGCCCTTGTACTTTGCTCTGTCTCTGGAATCCCTGCTCGTGTCGTTTGCAGCATTTGTGAAGTGATCAAGAAGCACTCGGTAGTTTTCCCAGACTGCTCTGACGCTCCTTTCACTTGAAGCCACCCAGCGGATGGACAAAACACGCCCTATCACCAGGAGACGCTGTCCGACTGCTTGCGCACACTGCGCTAACTGCCTCTGATTTTTGGGGGAGGCATGGAACAAGGAATAGAGTTTGTCAAAAAAGATCTGGAAATGATTGAGCCCTGAGACCTCCTTGACCACATCCCCAACTGCCAGCTCTAGACGATGATTGGAGCAGTGCCACACAAACAGGCTTGGGAATTTACTACACAACTGGGTAGCAACGCCTGTTCTCTTCCCTAGCATGACTGAAGCCCCATCACATGCAAAAGAAACGAAACACTGACCTAAAAAGTCCTTGTTAAAATCTCTTCCAAGACACTCCATTAACGCCTTTGTGATGTCATCAGCCGTTGTTCCATCCAACTCGATCAGCTCCCAAAAAAACGTTTCGGGCTCAGCATCAGCTAATGCTGAGCGTAGACACACAACAAGCACCGTTTTACCACTAATAGTGGTAGATTCATCGACCAAAACACAGAGTTTTCTTTGGTTTTCTGTAATGTCTTTTGCCATTTTTTTCTTCAGCTCATGAGCTATGTGGTCGATGATTTCGCCACAGGTTTTATTGGAGTGCAAAACCCTGCCCACGTTCAGCCCATTCAGTTTCTGTACATTCAAATCAATTGGCATGTCTGTGAATGGCCGGCTATGTTTGCCAATTTTATATGCCGTTCGAAAAACTCTGATAGTGGTGTCTAATTCAGATTTATGCATAGACTGCACTTGATGTTGAATAGTTTCACGTGAAGCAGATGTAAGGATGTCAGCAGCTTTTACATGGGCTTGTGATTCTTTATGTTCTTTGGTTTTTTTTTCTCAGGCTAGCTTGTTGTTTGCCCTTGTCAACACCGAAATGAGACACTGCACACTCACCCCATTCAGTTGACAGTTTCAGTCCTTGTCCAGTGTGTATTCCCAAAGATTTGACATCTCTGCATATCCGACATCCTAGCTTCTTATCTTTAAGAAGGAGCCATGCATTGGTCTTGCAAAAATATTGCACCTGGTCCGTTGTCCAGCAGTCAGGTGCATCGCTTTGCCCGGTGTTGGTGGTGGCAGTTGCGCCAGCAGCAGCTAAAGTTAGAGGCTCTGGAGGAGGCGGCGGAGCTAGTGCTAATGCTAATGCACTAGAACTTGGAGCAGGAGGATCAACCAAAGAAAGCTCCCCATCAGACACAATTTCCAACACAGGCACAGCATTCTCTGTATTTGAAGTTTCTTCCGGCGACAACCGCTGTCTTTTTGCACTTTTATTAATCCACACTAACATTTTAGAAATGCTAATTTGTGACGTGACTTGCTTTCCTTCTCTCGGGGGCGTGCCTGCTCTGTTCTATCACTCTACATAGCCACCCACTGGGTGGGAGTTGCACTGCATAAACACAACACACGTGCATCTAGGTATGTAAATTGTAAAGCATTAAAACATGGTTTTACTAACAGTTTTCAGTATGTTGTTACTTCGGCATTATTATTATTATTTTGAAACGTGTATTACTATTAAATCACGGTCAAATAGGTTAATTTTGACATAGTCGTTTCCACCACAGTATTTACATGGAGAAGATAAGCCCCGCCCCCTCTCCAGCACGTTCTGTTTCAATGACAGGAGTAAACAGCTGACAGCCGCTGTGAAACTCCAGCGGTTAGAGCGATGAGAATGTCCGTTCGGCACCTCATGACGCATCTACTGAGTACCGGGCGGCTGTATATATATATATATATATATATATGGATGTATAATAAGAACGGCGGGAGAGTGTTGAGTACTGGCACGGTGCATGAGTACCGGAGTACCACCAGCATGCCGGTACTGAGCAAGAAGTGCCGGTACTCCATGGGTCAGAACCAGAAGTGCCGGTACTGCGTACCGGTGAGTACCGGCCCAATTCCAGCACTGGTTTGGAGATAAATTAGCCTTTATTCAGTGTTAAAATCTGTGCATGCTTGTTTTAAACAATAGGGGGCATTATAATAGTTTTGAAGTGGTCACATGCAAATAAATATCACATTTGCAGCAAAGGTCATAGATGCACCTAATACAAACATCATATATTTATATAATAGAATAGAACATAATAATAGAATAGAAAGCATGTATTGTCATTTTGCAGAATACTGTTTGTCATTTTGCAGAATACTGTACATTTGCTTTTAAATGTTGCAGTAAAATATGTTTGTAACTGAAAAAAAAATATGATTTTGCACTTCAATACATGTAATTTACATGTAAGATCCATTTGGATTTCACTCGAGAAACAAAGCCAGCATATAGTATGTGAAAAGTAATTCAATGCTTGTTGGCCCAGGCAAAGAGGAAGCTGTGATTGTGTCTGGTGGTTCATGCTATGATGGTTCTCTGGCACTTGCAAGAGGGCAACAGGTCAAACAAGGTGGCGTATAGAAAGATAAGAGCCATTCTGATT